TCTACTCATGTAAAAACACGCTGATTCCCAGACCGTCCACAGGCTGGATTTAGAAGGCAATTGGGCCAGATCCAGCCCCCAGGCCTTAGTTTGCCTACCCATGAGCTAGGGCAACAGAGTGCTTTAATCCACTTTATAAGTACAAACCTAAACTTTCAGTAGGCACTTGTATTCCTCCCACACGATACTAATAGTCTAGAGGCAATCTAGGTCATTCAAATATTGCCAATGAGTCATTCACAACCGTTTTAAAACTTAGCAGATTTTCTGCCGGAAATGGAGATGTTGGCTGGTGTTCTGATGCCAATGATGTTGTGTGGATGCTCTGAAAAACCTGCATCCATGAGGAGCCCTGATTGAACTATAAACACACCTCTGGAGGCAGCCTCCAGATCCAACACTCTAACCACTACACAACATTGCTCCTGGTTAAAAACAGATAAAGCAGAAGACTTTGTATGACCATGTTTGTTTGTTTTTTGCAAGCAAGTTGGAGAATTCCACCACCTTCTACCCCAAAAGTGAAACTCTTACCAGCCTCCCATTCGTGTTTGCAGAGCAATCCTTCAGAATGCTGGAGTCACACTGATCCCTGTTGCCCGTATGGTCTATAGCTCAGCGGGGGTTTTATACATGATCTCCCAGTAGGTGCAACTCGGAACAAATCCTGGACACTTTAATAGGAATGAATAGATTCATTTGTCAACCCAACCTGTCTTGGGGTATTTAGACAGGGATATATTGTCCTATGGTCAGCTTCCCCTAATGTTACCAAGCCCAATCGCTGGCAGTCTCAGGGTATAAATATCAAACTGGGCAGTTTTTTAAAAAAAATAAAACAATCTCAATGCCCTTGGCAAGGAGAAAGGGCAATAATACTGAATTGGGTAGGGAACTGGAGGTAGGCAACAGTGCCAAGAAACAAGTGCACAATTATTTTTGTAGCGAGAAAATGTTTTCAGCCTGAGTGCCAAATTATTATTATTATTATTATTATTAATAATAATAATAATAATAATACCCTGCCCATCTGACTGGGTTTCCCCAGCCACTCTGGGCGACTCCCAAAAAAATATTAAAAACACTATAAATCATCAAACATTAAAAACTTCTCTAAACAGGGCTGCCTTCAGATGTCTTCTAAACGTCCGATAGTTGTTTATCTCCTTGACGTCTGATGGGAGGGTGTTCCATAGGGCAGGCGCTACTACCTAGAAGGTCCTCTGCCTGGTCCCTTGTAACCTCACTTCTCGCAGTGAGGGAACCGCCAGAAGGCCCTCGGAGCTGGACCTCAGTGTCTGGGCTGGATGATGGAGGTGGAGACACTCCTTCAGGTATACTGGGCTGAGGCCATTTAGGGCTTTAAAGGTCAACACCAACACTTTGACTTGTGCTCAGAAACGTACTGGGAGCCAATGTAGGTCTTTCAGGACTGGTGTTATGTGGTCTCAGCAGCCACTCCCAGTCACCAGTCTAGCTGCCGCATTCTGTTCTGGACAATCTTTTGGGGGCCACACGCCATTGGCCGGCAGGGTCAGAGGCAAAAGTGGGTGGAGCAACTAATCTGAATTTTCGCTTTGTACCTTTGTTGCTTTAGACTAATCTCTACTTAGCTTCCTGGCAAGTCAGAAGTATTATTATTGCGCACAGGCAAGAGGCAGGGAAGGGGAGGTCTGCACTCACATGTGTGCAGCAGAAGAGGATGCAGAAGGGGGGGGGAGTGAGGGATGTGGTGCCCCCTCCCAAATATTTTGCTCAAGTTGGTGCTGGTGACTGGCAGATTGTCTCCTGTAGCTGGACTGGGTTGTGTGAGTGCTTGGCTGGGGTGGAAATTTGGGGTATTTGGTGTGAGGTAAAACCCACTTAGAGGCTGGTGTCAGCAACACCATCTCTTCAGAAACTGCTGCCAAACACATTTAAGCAACCACAATATAGGTATCATTATTCCCTTAAGTGCATAACATCCCTTGAATAGACCTACAATCTTTGCATGAAGTTCATCCTGTCTCTACAGTTGCTGTTCATCTCACTTAGCCTTCTATATCAGCTGTCAGGAGGTGGGTTCAAACAAACAAAAAGGATTCTGAGTGAATTGACAGCAGCAGAAAATTAAAAGCTGCACAAACACCTAAACATCTGTTTATACAAACGAGGCTGAGGGAACCCATATCCCTAGCACTGTTTTAAATGTTGTTGTAATTTTAAATTGCCGTAGCCCACCCTGGAAGCTTGTGGTGAAGAAAGGTGGGTAAGAAACAACAGTTTTAAACTATTTAAATTTAATGTTCAAATTTTGACTGGGGAAACCAGCAAATTCCAAACATATGTGAATGCAGGGTATAGAACTCTTGCTCAATGAGTGTTGCTGTTAAAAGGGAAGAGAAAGAGTTCTGGAGATTTCCCTCCTGCTTAATATCTCATATTGCTGCTGAAAGGTGCAGAACTGAATTCAAGACTGGAAAAATAAGAAGCCAAGAGATCTGAAATGGATCGATCCTTCCATTCCTAGCTTCAACTTGCACAGCATCCATGCAGCAATGGCCTTTGGATTTCTAAATCTGATGCTGGGTTTGACCTGGGGATTTTACAGCTGAACATCAAGTAGAGATCAACAGTTGTAGTGTTTTTCCTGGCATGGAGACCAAGCTTCACCTGCTTAATTTCTGGGGTTGGAATGAAGTTCAATCACAAGTGGAATGTTGGGGGGGGGGTGGAGTTGACTAGCTTCTTAGAGAAAAATATAATAAAAATCTTGCATAACTGATCAAAGGCTTGGCCATGCCAAGGTAGGTTCCTTCTTCTAATGTGGAGTTTGCATTAGGGTCATCATTCTCCTGCCTTACAGAGTACAGGACTCTGTTTGATGGAATCCTCTGTCTGAAGGTCTGTCTGGTCCAAATCTGGATAATATCAGTTTTCCTCTGTGTTGGACTAGGAATTGTATTCATGTACGTTTTTATGTATCGTTAAATTGTTTAATGGTGTTTTTTGGGAAGTTATTCACAAATAAGACAGTGAATGACTTTCTCCCTCTCTCTATTGTTAAACAATCTATGGGTTTTTAAACTGCATGTAGGGGTTATTGTTTTTGTTACTGTGTTATGCGTTTGGGTGTTTTTTATATTGCAAGCTGCACTGTGATCACCGGATGAAAGGCAGTATAGAAATTCAAGTTGTTGTTGTTGTTGATTCTATCCTGTGAGGTAGGATAGGTTGCTTGTTGGTGACTGGCCAAAGATTCATGGCTGAGTGGGGATTTGAACCCTGGTCTTCAGGATGCTATTCCAGCACTCCAACCAAACGAGCTGTCCTTTAAGGGCATGCCTGCACAACTCTGAATGATACAAGAGCTTTGTTGATCAGGACTCTGGGAAGCCAATCTCATCACCCACAGACCTCCACAATGGCAGCATCCAGCCTGGGTTCTCCAGGCAGTCTGGGCACAAATCTATTGGCTCTTGGAAAGGGCAAGAAGGGAGAGAAAGAGTAGAGTTAACCATTAACAGGCAGTGGGCCTCTGATCCTTTTCCCCAGGCGGATGTGTCACCTTACTCTTCCTACAGTGCCATTGTTCTCACCCAGCTGTGGGGCCTCAGTGTATGTCAGGTCCCATTATTCTGCCACTGCATTATACTGCCGCTTCCATGAAAGAAAGAAAAGAGACCCATTAATCACCCAGAGCTGGGAGATGGAGTGACCTCCACATCCATCCTGGGCCAGGTGAGTGGCCTTAGCGATGGGAAGCTCTTGGGGAGAAAATTAAGTGGATTTGGGGAGAGCAATTAGGTGTGCTTGGGGGCCTGCTGCAGGCAGGAACCCAAACAAGGTACTTAGGAGGAGATTGGTCCAAGAGACTGATTGGTTTAAGTGGTGGATTTAGGGAACTTGAGAGTCTGGACTTAATGGTCTTACAGGGAACACTCTCCAGATGATAGTGGGTTTGAAAGGCAGTGGAGGATGATTCAGTAGGGTGAATGGGACACCCTACTCACGGCGGCAGCAAATGCTCCCGTGAGCCATTTTTTAGACCTTTTACTGGACTTTCAGCTCGCTGGCATCCTCTTCAAGCTCTGGGGAGGGTCTCCTCACAAGCCACAACGACTTTGCAGTTCCTTCCTGCCATTTCAGGTGGGGGGATGTCTGTCTAATGGCTTGGAAGTATCTAAATGAGACAGTGTGACTTCTTACTGTCTTGGAATTTGTTTAGTAGGACCAGTTCTGGGGTGACTTCTAATACTTGCTTAGTTATTTTGCATATTTCTTGTGTGATTGATGTCCAGAAGAGTTGAATTTTGGGACATTCCTACCACATGGGGAGGTATGTGCCTGTGGAGGTGCATCCTCTCCAGAATTTTGGTGAGGTTCCTGGGCGTATTAGTGTTAGTTTCCGTGGTGTTAGGTACCACCTGTAAGTGAGTTTCAGAGTGAGTTCTTTTCTTTTTGCTGATATGGATTTAAAGGGAGGTTTAAACCACATTCTGGTCCATTGGGTGGGGTTAATCTCATAGTTTATATGTTGTCCACCCATTGTTTTTTAAAGACAGTATGACTTCTGAAAAATGTTTTAAGAGGTGGCACCTGTTAATAGGGAATGGTTCATATTGCTCAGTGGCAGAGGAGGTTCAGTTCTCAGCAGTTCCACAGAGGACTGGGAGAGACCCTTGTCAGAAACCATAGAGAACTCCTGCCAGGCAGTGTAAGTGATGCTGAACTAGGTGGACCCAAAGTTTGATGTATAATCCAGCTTCCTATGTTACTAATTTAGAAATTAATCTCCCCACACCCTTATATATGCAGTCATTTTCTCTCTCTCTCTCTCTCTCTCTCTCTTTGTGTGTGTGTCATTACACAGATTTTCCCTCAAATAACATTTTCGGATTTCCCCCCACTCTTGAGACACATAGCACAACTACAATGCTAGAAGAGCTTAATATTTTATTGCTACACTACAATTAAGCTGCAGTTGCAGAAGGCCTCTAGAGGGCAACAGAGGGATAGTTCTACATCCTGGCTGTTTCTCTCTTCTGACGGCAACAGCGAAGGTCTTCTGAGGAAAGTGGCTTATCTGGAGTGGGGGAAAGAGGCAAGATGTTTGTTTTTACTGAAAAGAAAATTAAGTCATTTTAAGGCCCGCCTCAGAATCCCAGCTTGAGTTTGTCCCCTACTTATCTACATTGTCCATTCATACTGCAAGAAATTGCAAGCTCAGGACACACAGTGTACACTGTGCAGGGGGATATCGCTTCGGACTTGCAACAAAGTCTTTCTTTCAAGGTTATCTACTGAAAGTGTTTGCATTTGTGGAGTATTAATCAAAAATATCAATTAAAAACATTAAAAACAAATTAGCAAAACCTGGAATGAAACCAGTCATTTAAAAACAATTATACATACTAAGAGCATGTGTTAAAATTGCATGCTAAACTGGATAGGCTTGCTGGAACAAAAATGCTTTTAGCAGTCGCTGAAAACAGTACAGTCTACTCTGCAAACATCTGCTTTGTGTATGACTTAGCTGGATCTCACCCAGTGTCTCTGCAAAATAACATATGGAAGTGACTTCCCTATAATATTGAAATGGTAAGAAGGACCACATTCAAGGTGAGATTTTGCAAAAGCTTAAAAATAATGTGAAATGATTCTGCAGTATCTTCTGGGGGGGGGGGAAGATGCAGGAAGGGCATGTGGCTGAGGGCATGGTCTCTGCTTTCATACAATGCCCTGTGAAGCTTTTTCCTGTTGACTTCCAGGAAAAGCCAGCTAGTTCCCACCCTTCAGGCCTTGGCTTGACATACTTACCATTCACAGTGATCACTCTCCTCCTCATCACTGTCCACATGTGACTGTTCATCAGGAACCTCCTTGCTGCCCTCATGGCTGAGATGTCCTGGTTCTTGCTCAGGGAGGTCCTCTTCTTTCTGGGGAACTTCTGGTTCTTCTTTCTTAGGCGTAAGCTCTTTAGGGTCTCCAGCCGATTTGAAATTGTCCACCTGGAACACCCAGCGTCCTGGCACATCCACGTTGCTAGTTTTTGTAATGTTGATGACTTGAGGAGTGCGGGAGCTAGGGATGTTGTAGTAGTTCTTGTTATCGCCGCTGTTGAAGCCGGCCTGAAATAACCACAATACCAGCCTTGATACATGTATAGCAGTCAAATGCTGCTTTGTGGCAAGAAGCAACAACACTTTGGACTTCCAGGGAATCTTCCCAGGGTCTCTCCCTCTCAGGGAAGGAGTCCAAGCACTTGCAGGATGGACAGGGTTCCTGAACTACTGCAGGAGCTATCAACAAACTGGTTGCTCTGCTAGAGACTTCCACTAAGGTGGGCTCCCTCAAGGAAAGTGGCTTTTTGCTACAGAACTAATTAAATCAGGGATGAGGAACCTGTGGCCCTCCAGCTGTTGTTGGGCTCCAACTCTCACCCCAGGCAGCATGATGGGCTTTGTAGTCCAACAATATCTGGGCAGCCACAGGTTGCCTATCCCTGACTTAAACTCTCCTTTGGTTCCAATACTCAAGTGTGGGGAACTTGGACCAAGCTGGCTGTGGATGGTGGGAATTGTAGTTCAGCAATATCTGAACGGCCAAAGATTCACCAATCCTGCAATATCCAAGTTTCTTGCTTGTCAGATATTTGGCCCAGCACTGTTTCCATCCACATAGTGAGATATCCAGGGCGGTCATTTGCTGCTTTGCCACACCTGGTCAGAAATATCCCTTAGCAAGATGGAAGGAAGAGACAACCCCCGACCAGAAAAAAATGGCAAACCAAGTTGATGGCAAAATTAAATGGGAAGTTCAGGAACCAAGAAGACAAGAACTTTTAAAAAGAACGGGGAAAGTTTATAATTTATATACAAGATCATTGTAAGCAGGTTAAAACATTGGCAGGATTTTAAACACACTTGTAATGTAACAGAATGTACGAATAATTTAGAAAGATAAAAAAGTGAAGAAGTATTGATATGCAGTGGAAAATAGGATCAACAGGACCCTTGGAAGGGAGGGGGGGTAGTCAGGAGATTCAGAGTAATCTCGATATTTGGATTCGAAATAGATTTTGTTGTATGTTTATATTCTTGAAAATCAAATAAAATTTTATTTTTTTAGAAAAAGAAATATCCCTTAGCAAAAGTCATGTTAGGATTGCTGGTTTGCACCCAGGTGGCTTTGGCTTGGTTTCTGCGATGAGACCTATAAAATATTTTTACTGGGAGACCCCCATGGCTCAACTTGCCGAAGATCCTTGGCATCCCAAGTTAGGAAGGACAGGTAGCAGCAGAGGTGGATTTGGGGGAGTGTGGCAACAGAGGGGGAGCAGAGACTTGGGGTGCCACAGGGGACACTGCAGCAATGATTTAGAATGGAGCACAATTTTAGCATCACACAGGGCACTGCTGAAATTTGAGACCCCAAGACCACCCCTGCTAGCAGCTGTCCCTGAAAGCCTGGGCAGGGCTGCAGCTCAGTGGTAGAGCTTTGCAACAGATAGTCCCAGGTTCAATCGCCAGCATCTTCAGGTAAGGCTGGAACCCTGGAGGACCACTGCTAGTCAGAGCAGACGACAGTGGGTTCAATGGGCTAATAGCCTGACTCAGTGTCAGCCGCTGCCTGTTAGAGGAGACCATTGTAGACCAGACCAACAAAATAAGGCAGCTAGCTGTGTTCCCAGATTTGAAAGGAAAAGCATGTCATTCACTCTGGCACCATAAGGGACTCTGAGCAGCTCTTCTGAGAAAACCTCCTGGAACCAAATTCTCGGCTCACAGCATGAGCCTACCTGTGCTGGGATTCCTCCTAAACCCGTTCTGGGATTTCCCTGACTTGCTGCCCCTGTAGTCCATTGGATGTCTGCATAGTTGAGCATCATAAAGGAAACATGGCCATCAGTACATAAGATAGCCTGGAAGGTGTTTACCTGGAGCAAAGACAAGCAGAAAGAGTGAGGTCAAGAAGACACACAATGAATTTCATCACAATTTCCTTGGCCTATGTCTTTTCCTCTTTGCTGTAGTTGCTGGCTGGCTATGCTCTTCCATGTGGATTTGGCTTCTTGGTGCTACAGCTGCATTTAAGAAAGGGGTCATGTTTTGACAAAGTTGGGAGTTGCTTATGATGGGCAAAATATCTATAGAAATTAGGGTTGCTTTGCACCTTAATTTCAAGGGTAGCTTCCTGGGGAAATGGTTCCTATTTCTGGTATATGTTAACCCTAAACGGCCTACTCAGCTCTTAATTTTGCACCCCAGCTTCTTTCATCCCCCACCATAATAGGTGGATGGGAATGGGCATCATGTTGGGGAAGGCCGATGGATAGCTGTAGGTATTTTGTGTGCTATACTTTTAGTGACTCTGATTTCCAGTGACTCTGAAAAGTGAGTATGCAAGTAAAAATTGGTGGTTATGCTTGAAACAAGCACTCCAGATAAGGCTGGCACAGTAGTGCAGCCCTGGAGTCCAAGGCATCTCTCCCAGCCAGCCTTCAGCTGATGGATCCCAGTCTTTCTTCTCCCCTCTTCTTCTTCCCAGAACACCTTGCTAAAAGACTCCCTTTACCTGTCACCTCACACCCACTTACCCTGGCACCATCTGCCTCCCCAGGCCAAAGGATTCCTCTTGGATGATCCATCAACACCTTTTGTCATGTTAACAGATTTGCTCTTCACTAGGCCAGCCAAACTGGTTAGCATAAGCAAGCCCAGGGATCCCTGACACAGCTCTGCATCTTGTTCTTTCATCCACATCCCAATTAATGAAAATCCTACCATTTATTAATTCCTATGGTTTAGGAGGTCCCCCCCTCCCCAATCTATAATAACACTCAACTACTGTCGATGGACCATTGGTCTGACTCAGCTAGAGACCCAAATTTGGGAAACACTGCTATGTGGTAATCTAGTACGGAGACCTCCAATGCCTGTATCAGAGCAGAGGCCCATGTTGCCCCAGAGAAGGCCCAACTGGAAGGAAGATGCCCAAGCAAATTAGGCTCTTATTTGTATGTGGAATGACTTACCTTCCTGGACAAAGATCCGAAATAGGCTACACGGTCCCAAGTGGCAATGAAGAGCCAGGTGGCTGTGAAACTGATTTCAGGGAAGTAGTTATTAATGTCCCGGGTGACATTTCTCAGCAGTTCTGGTTTCTGCGTCTGCCGGTAATAGACGTGGCCACCTAGAATAATGTTGGCATCCGCCCAGTAAGGGGCAACAAAGGCCTTTCCGTTTACCATGGGGATGGCTTTGGGGGTGTACTCTGGGACGGGCACAGAAAAGGAAACCACCCCATTGTTGTTGACCTGTGAAGGGGCAGAGAGCAGCAACGTAAGCAGAAACAGCAAAAGGCTAAAGTGCCCCCAAGCAAACCATCCCAAGGGCTATTTCCTTCTCACTGCTAAGAATTTTCAGTTTCTGATCTGAATCCTCCGGGTATTGGCTCCTAGACTCTGGGAGCAGCACAGTGTAACAGGCAAAGGGGGTCGATACCATGACTGGGAAGTGAGACTGTGCTGCTGGTCCTACCCCTTGGGTCACGTGCTTAGGCTAGCTGCACTGCTGATGACATTCTGAATGCACATATCTGAACCAGAGTCCCTATTCAGCAGCTGGTTCATGCATTATTATCATCATCATCACCACCACCACCATCATCCTCCTCCTTCATCTGAGGATCACAGAGCAGTTTACAATATAAAAACACAAAAATACATGCCATAGTAACAAACAAAAGCAATAACCCCCACATACGTAGTTTAAAAGGCCATAGATCAATTAGCCAAAGACCTGGGAGAAGAGGAACGTTTTTGCCTGGCATCAAAAGATATGTGATGAAGGTGCTAGGTGAGCCTCCCTGCATTGTTGCCCCTTGCCTAGGCATTTGGATCACAGAGAGTCCCTATGCATGAATTGATGTTCATTGCCTAGCAGGTGGTTTTCAGCCCCCATCCCCCCCATCTTTCTGAGAACCTCCGTCAGTGATTGGCATCGTCCTGCGTCATTTATCTATTTGTACAGGCACACTATTTATAGCCTGCCCTTTGTCAAAAGACCTCAGGGAAGATCCCTTGTCCATGGGAACTCTGTCTACCAGCAGGGGCATACCTAGGTTTCCTTGAACCCTTGGTAAGGAGATGTTGGTCACCCAGAGCAGTGGAGGAGTGGCCTGAGAGATGGCCAGGCAAGTGGTCTCCTAGTCAGAGTGAAGAGGCTCATTTTTGCACACACACCCTGGGCCTGCAGCCCTTGGCAGGGGCAGCCTTGCCAACCCCTAGGTACACCCCTGTCAAAGCAATGATTCTTCAACATCAACTTTGTTGGAGTGGTCATGTTGTGCGGATGCCTGATTATCATCTTCCAAAGCAACTGCAGTGGTACCTCGGGTTAAGCACTTAATTCGTTCTGGAGGTCCGTTCTTAACCTGAAACTGTTCTTAACCTGAAGCACCACTTTAGCTAATGGGGCCTCCTGCTGCCTCCCCGCCGCCGGAGCACGATTTCTGTTCTCATCCTGAAGCAAAGTTCTTACCCTGAGGTACTATTTTTGGGTTAGCGGAGTCTGTAACCTGAAGCGTATGTAACGTGAAGCGTATGTAACCCGAGGTACCACTGTACTCTATTCCGAACTTAAAAATGGAAAGCGTAATGCTGGTGGTCAACAAAAGAGGTTCAAAGACTGTCTCAAGGCAAAACTTAAAAAATGTAGTATAAACACAGACAACTGGGAAACACTGGCCTGCAAGTGCTCCAGTTGGAGAACAGCCTTTACCAAAGGTGTCATGGGCTTTGGAGACGCTCAAACTCAGGATGAAAGGAAGAAAAGTGCTAAGAGGAAGACACACTTGGCAAACCCTCACCATGAGCAACTCCCGCCCAGAAACCTATGTCCCCACTGTGGAAGGACATGTGGATCCAGGATTGGCCTCCACAGTCACTTACGGACTCACTGTTAAAACTGTGTTTATGGAAGACAATCTAGCTCGGCTATGAGTGATTGCCAAAGAAGACGACACCCCTGTGTATCGTTTTAGCATTCCCTGACAGCTAGGGCTTATCTACGCTAACCTTTCCTCCGTGCTTTAAAGCTCTAAGCACTCTATTTATTTTTGCTCCAGAGTTTTCCCTGTGAAAACCCACCCTTTAAGTGCTCTGACACAGAACTTCAAAGCATTGGTTTCTGCCTGGAAAGAGCGGGGCAAAAGATAATAAGCCTCTAGTCACAGTATTGGCTATCTGTTCTTCCGGCTACAAGAAGATGGAAGTTTGTAGGGTAATGGGCATCCTGAGAGCAGAACACTTGAGGTTGAAGTGGGAGAGTGGTCACATTCCCCTTTCCTGTGATTCATTTTTGCTTTGTGCCAAAAGGGATTATACGTACATAAACACTGTGGTAAGTCTTGTCGTAGAAGGTGAAAGGTACCAAAATGGGAATCTTAGGGGACGTCCCGTCATCTGCTATGGGGTTCTTCATATCTCCTGCAGCTTCCCCATAGGGATACAGGAGGTGCTCTGGACAGAAAGGAGGGAGAACACTTTGATGCCTCAAACCTGACACAAACCTATGAAAATCGGGGAGGGGTGCTGTTGTGTGGCATAACAGAGCATCCTCAAAAGGAAGGAAATTGTTCTCTATGTTCTCACAGCTACCAGATTCTGGAAGGAAGATTTGCACAATAGTGACGCCCTAAATACTCTGCTTAAAAGTTTTTGCTAGGTGAACCTCCATCTTGGTCTCAGTAGTTGTTTTATGCAGACCTTCCAATTGTCCCTATTTTCCACAGACAGCCCCAGATTTACAGAAGCCTTCCCAGTTTCTGATTTGATCCCAGAATGCCCCACCTTTCCTTAGGACGTCCCTATTTTCATCAGAGAAATGTTAAAGGGTATGGAGGTATGCCCTTAGGCAAGGAGAAAAGTGACTATACCACCTTTAGAAAACATCTGAAGGCAGCCCTATATGGGGAAAGTTTTTTTTAAAATGTTTTGTTATGTTTTTTACATATGTTGGAAGCTGCTCAGAGGGGCTGGGGAAACCCAGTTGGATGAGCAGGGTATAAATAATAGATGATGGTTGTTATGGAATAGAATGTCCCTATTTTCATTGGAGAAATACTGGAGGATATGTAGAAGACTTCAGTCAGCCCATCATTATCTAAATCAGTGCTAAATAACTCAGGTTTCTAGAAATACTATTTCTTTGGAGAAAGCTCCACCGACACCCCATGAGGGTCAGACTTTACCGTTGGTTTCTTTTGTTTCTTTTGTTTCTTTTATTGTTACTTTTGTTTCATGGAACCAAAAAGTCGAAGCTGAACCTATAACAGAGAAAGGAAAGACAATGGTGAGTCTTCAGGAGAAGAGTGCTCTCTCTTCTGGGATCTAGGAAGCTTTCTGGGTCTGTGGATTCCCCTGGGGGATCTCACCACATCTATCCATCAACTTAGCAAGGCTTTGCAGCAGCTCCCCAATTTGTGGTGGGCCTTCTCCACTTCTCTGCACTTTTCACTTTTTGGGGGGGCATGTTTATGCCTCTTTCTCCATATACCAGCTTCTGGTGAGACTCAGATTGCTGCCTCGGTTCAACTTACCTAGCAGAAGTAGCAGGAGGGCAAAGGAAGTCTTCATATTGGCGTCTCCTTCCCAAGCAGCAGCATATGACAAGCAACATCCCAGGAATTGAGGAGAAAAGAGAAGGCATATAAAATTGAATTAAGACATGAATGCAGGAGGGAAAGATGCTTTTTCCAGTTGTGTGTATGTCCCACCACCCCCACTCACCCACATCCCATTAAAGCAGAGGTGGGGGACCTGTGGTCCTTCAAGTGTTTTTGGACTCCTTTTCCCATCAGCTCCAACCAATATGGCCAATGGTCAGGGATAAGGGGAGTTGTAGTCTGCAAACAGCTGGACCGTCACAGGTTCCCCCTTCCTGCATTAAGAACTCCTAACAATGGATCACACTTTTTGGGTCTGAGACCTGCCTGTCAGTTCCACTCTTCCCCATTGCCTATGTGAAACTGGCCAATGGTTGGAACAGGAAAAATCTAGTGCTCCTCTGTATTTTCGTCACTTGATGTGGAATATTCTCCAGACAATCTCTGACCATGCAACTCTAGGCATGTTTAAAGGTAAAGGGACCCCTGACCGTTAGGTCCAGTCGTGACCGACTCTGGGGTTGTGGCGCTCATCTCGCTTTATTGACCAAGGGAGCCAGCGTTTGTCCGCAGACAGCTTCCGGGTCATGTGGCCAGCATGACTAAGCCGCTTCTGGCGAACCAGAGCAGCGCACAGAAACGCCGTTTACCTTCCCGCCAGAGCGGTGCCTATTTATCTACTTGCACTTTGACGTGCTTTCGAACTGCTAGGTTGGCAGGAGCAGGGACCAAGCAACGGGAGCTCACCCCGTCACGGGAATTCGAACCGCTGTTCCTTCTGATCGGCAAGTCCTAGGCTCTGTGGTTTGTTTACTTGGGTGTAAACACTAGGTAAGTGGACAGGATTACAGCCTAAGTGTTTTACATATTTGCCAAAGTTACTTGATGTGGATATCTGGATTTGACACCCTGCAATATTTTGTTTCAGCATTTGATGTTCAACTAAAGAGGTTTGATTTCAGAATCTGATATTTGCCTCTGTCTGATAGCTGATGCACAATTCTATTTATTTATTTATTTATTTTACTATCTAAGCACTTTGCATATCCCAACAATTTACCATAGAGTTTGAATTCTGAAGCAAAGGATGTGGCGGGAGGGCGGGGGGGGGGAAGCCTTTTCAGAAATCAAAGCAATAGAATTGGGAAGTTTGGTGTGTTTTCAAGCATTTCCACCTTAGGAAAATGGAAGGTATCATCAGGAGGTCCTGAGCGGCACTTAACTCTTGCATTGCAAACCTCCCAACAACTATCAAAAGTGCACAAGGTGTCGTATGTGAAATGAGGTAGCCCAATATATAGTGGTACCTTGGTTTAAGAACAGTCCTGTTTACGAATGATTCAGTTTACAAACTCCGCAAAACCAGAAGTAATGTTCTGATTTGCAAACTTTACCTTGGTCTACAAAAGGAAACTGAATGGTGGAAGGGCACCAGCAGTGGAACACCTCATTAGGGAAAGCGGGCCTCAGTTTAGGAATGGTTTCAGTTTAAGAAACGGACTTCAGGAATGGATTGAGTTTGTAAACCGAGGTACCACTATATTGGAAGGTGGGTGGGTGTTCCATTGGAAGCACAGGTGAGGGGGTCACAGTGTTGTGCCACCCCACCAAAGATGTGCTCACTGCCCATCCCACCTACCCCTCTCCCCATCAGCCTCATTTAGGAGCCTCTGTGGTGATTTGGTCATTTTAGACTCTGGACTTTATGGTCTTACAGGCATCGCCCTCTTAAGATGACAACGTTTATCATTTCACTGCCTTCAAAATGTAGTAAGCCAGCTCTGCTGTGCTTGGAGATCTTCCTGCTCATTCTGATTGCTGGGTGGGGAATAGACCCCTGCCCCCCAAGTCCTGCTTCAATGGCATAACCGGGCAGTTTTTGTGCATGTTCTGATTGATGCACACTGGACAATTTATTTCACAACATTTATATATGCCTTGATTGTAATAAAACCTCAAAGTGATTTACTAAAAAAAAACCCAATGAAAAGAAAGTGAAAACACGTATTTAAACCATCCAAAAATAATTAAAATCCAGGACAAAAATGCTTTAGCAGACACCGAAAAGAGTACAGTGAAGGCACCTGCTTGACGCCAACAGTCAAAGAGCTCCAAATTGTGGATGCCTCACTTGCACATGAACGGGAAAAGTTGGGTCTCTCCCTCATGCTGAGAATCCCTAGGCATGTTCACAGTTTTGCATGTATAGACGCTACACATGGCTACCTCACATGTAAATGTTGAGTTATGGGGCCAGCATATATGTTGACAGTGGCAGGTATGGGTAAGCCAGATAATGCACTGTACTCACTATTGTCTGTCCTCATAATTACAACTTGCCCCTTCCCCTTAAACCTCATCGCTGAGCCAGCATTTGAACCCAAATCTCTGCAATCCAATATCAACATGCTATCCCCTGCAAGTGTCCGGGGGGGGGGCGTGGAACATCCTGGTTTTTTGCACAAGAGCATGGTGGCCATTCTGGGCACTGTGATCTCACGTGGGTCATGTGACTTTTGTGTGACACACATCCTGGTTTTGGGACATGCCATTCACTAAGCTATTTAAGATGTGCTGATAACCTGGAAATGGCCCAGGAAGGCTTCTGTCTCAATGCAAACAGCAATGAGGGAAGGGTGCTTTTTGTTGGTATCATGGCAGGGGGAGGAAAGGAGTAAAGCCTTTTGCGCGCCCCCTCTCTCCCCCCATCCCTCCGTCTCCATCCATTGCAGTCCCAGATGTTGCTAAGGCTCTCCCATGCTGCTCTTCATGTAACAAAAGCATGCAACTTAATTGCATTCAATTTCATGTCTAGCTTGGCTGTATTATGTGTGTGCATATGTAAAAATACCTGTCTGTCTTCATGCTCCTGATATCTTGAGGATGCAGAAATTTCCACTTGCCTTTAGCCCCTACCTCACTTACCTTTCTGCTCCTTTCTTCCTCCACGTCTGTTGTCGCCCAGGCTCAGATATCCTTAAGGAGTCTCTTCTGGTTTTATATATACAGCCCTGCAATATTTCCACACCCAAGTTCCCCTGTAAAAATTGACCTGCCTCCCAGCTGCTCTTCCCTTCCCTCTGACCTGGCCTGATGCCCCAGAGGGATTCCTAACTCAATGGCAAGATAGAAGCTTTAAATCCACTCTTAATCCATTGTGTATGTTTTAGGGGTGTGCGCAGGCCCCAAGATTTGTCTTGTAGCTGAGTTTGTGATTTTAAAATTACTGATCTGTTTTCAGACACTCTTCCCGCTTCGGTCTTAAATTTGGGTTCTGAGTTGTATCAAATGAAGCTCCGTGGTTCCCCTTTCACTATAATGGGAAATCTAAAAACAGCTGTAACTCTTCTCCCCTTTTGACAAAGTGAGTGACATTTATGAGTCCCTTCAGAGTGGATCAAGCTTGCCAAATTGCAGTGGAATGGGTTCGGAATGTTTTTGTAAATAAAAGAGATTCACTTTCCTCCATAAGTCCAAACAAGGGGCACCATGGGGGTTTCTTGCTCTTTCTTGCCTTAAATATAATTAAGAGGTAGCCGAGTGTGTGAATTTTTGTCTTCATATTTTTTTTCCAATTTTTGAACCTTCAGACTGGCCACGCTTTCTGTCTAGAACACGGCCTGTGAAGTAATGTGAGGTATATTTGCTTTTCTTAAAAAAGAACAATATAGGATTTAAAACAACAAGAACAAAAATACCTTAAATCAAGTTTGTAACTATTAAAAAATATATCCAGAGCTGTGCTTTAACCATAAACCACATCTTCAGTTATCTGCAAGCAAAATTTTGAACAGCCTCATCTTTTAAAGCTATTGAAACATTGTGATGTATAGGAAAACACACAGCCCCCAAATGTATCTTCTCAGTTGTAGATCTTCTCAATTTTGCACCCCCTCGGCTCGGCACCCTGTGTGTGGGGGGGAAATCTGCCCCCACACCCCTAAATTCAGTACTGGTGGGGGCCAAGAAACACAGTTGCCATGATGTCAGGGCACAAGCGAAGCTGTACTATAGACTAAGGTGACCATGTTCCATAGGCTGATGTATCTTCTAATGCAGATGTAGGGGACCTGTGGCCCTCCAGATGTTGCTGAGCTACAACTCCCATCATCTCCAGCCACTGGCCATGCTAGCAGAGACTGATGGGAATTGGAGTCCACCAAAATCTGAAAAGCTACCAATTGACGGCTCTGTCCTAAAACATCCAGCCTGACTGTGTGGTTTGAAAGAAGCTCCTTCCTCAAGACCTCACTTCAGGGTGCTTTATCCCAACTCTATAAAAATCAGTACAGTGGTACCTCGGGTTACATATACTTCAGGTTACATATGCTTCAGGTTACAGACTCTGCTAACCCAGAAATGGTGCTTCAGGTTAAGAACTTTGCTTCAGGATGAGAACAGAAATCGTGCTTCGGCGGCACAGCAGCAGCAGGAGGCCCCATTAGCTAAAGTGGTGCTTCAGGTTAAGAACGGTTTCAGGTTAAGAACAGACCTCCGGAACGAATTAAGTACTTAACCCGAGGTACCACTGTATTAGCTGTCCTCCACCCTGTGTTCTTCTGACAAGGAGATCTAAGGGCCCCAATCTAGCAGTCCCAATTAAGAAAGCAGGAAACCAATCATTGCTGAGAGGGCAAGGCGGATGTGGATTAGGCCTTGATCCTCTTGTTTGCTCCTTTACTGAGAGAAGATCAACAAGGATTAGGTAATCACACAAAGTGTGGACTCTGTGCCATGATCATCCCACTTGGCTTGAACTCCCAAATGTTTGCAAAAGGAGATCTGGATTGGGGAACAGGATCTTGCCACACCCCTGGGAATTGGTGTAATGCTTTCCCTTTTAACGGCTGTATTGTCCTCTGTCTCAGCAGTGAGCATCCACAACAACACGGAACAAGTAACAGGGTAAATGCACTAACTCTCAGTTGCCCAGCCTTGTAAATCCCCAGGAAGCAGCTGTATCTCTTAAAGCAGAGCTTTCCAAACTTTTCATGTTGGTGACACACTTTTTAGAGACGCATCATTTTGCAACACAGTAATTCATTTTTGCTAGCAAACAAGAGGTTAAACTAACCCCTTTCCAGACCCAGGAGAAGCACGGGGAGCGTTCACGTGACACACCTACACCATAGCTGTCAAGCGTCCCTTATTTGGAGGGACAGTCCCTTATCCCAGCACCATGTCCCACTGCTGTCCCTTATTGATGGATGTCCCTTAAATTTCCTGGCTTTCAAAGGAAGCAGCTCCTCTCCCTCCCTTCCTGCCGGCCAGGGAGGAGGGAGGCTCCAACTGTGTTGCTTGGCTGCCCAGCACGCCCCCCTTCGGCCTCCTTTCACCAGACTCGGCCCCCGGGAGCCCCTCCCCGCTGGGACTGGTGGGAGCCTCGGGCCCTTCCGCCACCATCCTCCTCACTGCTGCCGAACTGAGCGTCTCTGCCTGGGGCCTCCCGTCTGCCCATCACCGGCGCTCCCGCTCCTGTTAGGCCGTACTGCGGCTGCGCCGCCGAAGGACCCGGATGAGATGGACAGCCTGGCATGGTCTATGAATTGATGAGGAGCCTTGAGAGGAGAGAGAGGGCAACCATAGAGAAAGCAGTTCAGAGAGAGGAGGAGGAGGAGGAGGAGGAGGAGGCGCGGGCAGGTGTTCCAAGGGCTACAAGGGAAGGACCGCAAGCGCTTCTCCCATAGATTTGTAGTGGTAGACTAGCATAGATGGTCTGATCTGCGGGTTTACTTTGGGCGCTATTTCCCCCCCCCTCCTCCTGCCCCACCTGATGGAATTGAGAGCTGCAGATGGAGCACGAGAGAAAAGATACAGAACTACAGCAGCATCTTTGTAGCTTGGACTTTGTTTTGCACGAAAAGTGGTTGCTGCTTGTAGTTCTTTAAGTGCAGTGTTTCATCGGCTGGTGTCTTGAGCAGCAACCTCTGGAAACAAAGGGCTAAAAACCGGCTCTGCTCTCCAAAATTATCTGGTCCCTTTTAACTGGTTGACTAAAATCCCTTATTTTGGCTGCTGGTCCCTTATTTTCAAGGCTGCTGGTCCCTTATTTTCAAATCTGTAAGTTCTGTCAACTTAGTATGACCTACACACTAACATGTCAGGACACACACTTTGGAAAGCTCTGTCTTAAAGGGACCACAGACCAAATATCTGGCTAAGAAACATAGAGGAACAGGAAACCATGGACAGAATAACTGGTAATTCAATATGAGATGGAAAATGAAGTCCCTTTTTTAGGAATTAGGGAAAAAAATCATTCAGTTCACGTTTTAGTGCAAAATTTGCACTTCTCTTTTGCAGCATAACCAAATAAGGCATACGAAAAGGTTTGTATTAGGGCTCATCCATACTTCAGTTTGCCCCATGCCTAGAAAGCACAGGTCCAAGCAGTTTTCCAACTGACTCACTCCTTTTTGAGGGAAAACCCACTCTTTAGCTTTAAATCAGGATGAACTGCAGTCCACGGAAAACTCGATTACCGTTTGCTCAGATGGAGCACTAAAGAACGGTTTTCCCTGAGGGAAAGCGGCAAGGCAAGAGGATGTGTGGATAAGACCTTCATGAAAAGTGCATGTGTGAAAAATGCATTCTATTATGGAAAATGTGCTGGCAAGAGTATATGCACTAGGTGAAATTGCATGGGAAAGTGGGCACACTGGGAAGTTGGTTGGCATCCATCTGTCTCATGGAAATGTATGGATCATGATACCTTTAAAAAAAAAATCCCCTAAATACATACATTTATGAAGTGAACTGAATTTTTAAGATTAACAAAATGCAAAAAGAAACCAAACTGACAGATTTTTGACACCACATTCCTCATTTAACATAGACATTTTAAAGAGTCTCCCTCTTGCTGCTGTCCACTTCCCTTGTCAACCTCTCTCTGGTACAGTGGCGTAGCGTGGGGGGCTGGGGGCGTGGCCCTGCGTGCATTTTTTTGAGGAGGCACAACCAGGTGCCCCAACAACAGGCTCCCTCACCTGAGAAATATTACAGAGGGGGTGGAATAGGACGTCCCTATTTTCACCAGAGAAATGTTAGAGGGTACCAGAGAGAGTTTGGGAAACTAAAAGCTTGTTATCAAGGGGTTGCCTTGCTTCTGTGAATCCCACTTTCAGATGAAATAAGAACCCCTCAAGTCAGATTTTGACCTAGAGGTCACTGGCACGGTAAGGACTCATCTGTGTCCATTCATGTTCTGCTTTTCGCCAGTGTTTCTCAGAAGATGAGAGCCAGAGTCTGGTCCAAACGCTGATCTCCTTCCTGACCGCCAAAGGTCCTGCTGTTGAGGTCTTGCAATGCACTCACATTTTAAAGTTGTTTGCCCATCCCATGTGCATCTCTACGGCTCAGTGAATCTGCTCGGAGCTGATTCATTTGCTGGTGCACTGATCCCTGTGTAACTATTAGCAGAGAATAGGACTTGGGTGGGGCAGGACAGCCCTAAGCCCTTGGAGAGCCATCTGTTGGCACCTGCCTGGATTCAGTTGTAAGAAGAGAGTAGAGCTCTATATTGTTGCACAGCACTGCAAGTTCCAGGTGGCTGCAATTGTCTGAAAATGACAATCTCTGTTTTTTGAGATCCATTCCCCAGGACTACTCATTCCAGCTTTTATCATTCCAGATACCACCTTGGAAGGCAGCCAGGCCTCAAGTGTGAAAAGTAGGAGTTGTTTTTTGGATTAGGATCCAGGTCAGCACATCATCAAATAACTTGGGGGGGGCACTTGCCCTGGTTCACCCTTTAAAAGGTTTATTTGGTACCAAACTCTCTTGGGTCAGTACTGGGCGGAACCCATATCCGCTAACATTTCTCTGATGAAAATAGAGATGTATTATTATTATTATTATTATTATTATTATTATACTCCATCCATCTGACTGGGTTGCCCCAGCCACTCTGGATGGCTTCCAACATATGAAAAACCATACTAAAACATTAAACATTAAAAAAAAGCCCTTCCCCATACATGCCTACCTTCAGATAACTCGGAGGTCAGATAACTCCATACCTTCCAACATTTCTCCGATGGAAATAAGGACATCCTAAGGAAAAGTGGGACATTCCAGGATCAAATCAGAAACTGGGGCAGCTTCTGTAAATTCGGGGCTGTCCCAGGAAAATAGGGACACTTGGAGGGTCTGCAATGCACCCTATTCAAGCTGGCTTTCATGAAGGAAATGTGTGGAATAGTTTGCAAGGCACTCTAGTAGGAATGCTTACTTACTCTCTGTAGACACTAAATAGCAAGAAGCAGTGAGAGTAGGGACTTCGCAAGAGTAATGAAGACAGTCTTGGAAAGAAATGTTTATAATCCACAGCACCACTCTGACAACCTTACCTCTCCTGAGCTATGTTGTTGAAATTAAAAGCCACACATCAGCAACATTTTCTAGGGAGCTCAAAAGTAAAAGGAAACATAATACATTTTTTAAAAAAATACAATAAATTGTCTGGTAATAGGATGTGGTTCTTCAGCAGCAGTAACAATGACTACATGAGACACAGAAGAATGTAGGGATACAGTTGTGCAGAAGGGACTGGAAGCCCATTTATATTAGACATTGATTTGTTTAAATTGCATTTTTTGAAATGCTAAAGATCTGCCTTTCAGAAGATTAGAAGCAGGCTGGACCACTGTTGCACGGGTAATGTCATAAATATGCCAGCTCCAAGCGAAGGTTTGCAGCCGGCTGCAAAAAGCAACCAAGAACAGAGAGGCTTGGATTTTACTAAGGCAGAGGAGAGTCATCAGCTGCAGGCGTTGCATGCTCCTGGCCTTGAGCAGCAGACTGATAAGGCAGTAGCTGAGAGCAGGCTGGAACACAGCCAAAGCTCTCAGGAAGCACAGACAGGCACGAAAAGCGAGAGAGACAGTCTTTCGTCACAGGAAGGGGCTGCAAATGACCCAAGGAGCCTGAGACGTAGATGAATAGGACGGCTGCCAGACAGGAAACAAAACAAGAGACGTAAGGGTAACAGGTTCAGTATCTTCTGTCAACGCAGGAAGAACTCATCAGAAGGGTCAACTTAGGGATGATGCCAGTGTTGGGATGCAGCCAAGGAATCGGGGGCAATTGGCAGGCCCCCAGCTGGCTCCAGCCCACCGGCCGGTGTGCCAGGCAATCTCCAGTCCTTGGTGCAGCATCAGCGACTCAAGCTTCAGAAGCTAGAGCATGCTACTCAGCAGAGCAAATGCTACGCAACAGAAGTGGCAGGAGACGGCTGTGTGAGCATATTTACAAGCAGTTTATTCAGCGTACAGCAGGACAAAAGAAAAACATGTCCAATCTCCTTTGTGTCCCAAGCAAGACGCTAAAAGTGAAAGCTATACACAAACGGAAATTCTCAGCAAGCTGTGCTGGAGTGTAAACAGGCATGTGACACACAATAGTCATGCCTGTACTTAAGGTGGAACGGGATATCCTAACATCCGGATGCTTGGCTAGAGCAATCCGGAGCTAACTGCTTGTTTTTGCAATAAGTTCTCCTTTTTAATTACATACATTTACTGTGTTATCAAGCCGGGAGCCTGGACTCCTAACAGGTATATCCAATCGGTGGAAATTGCAGGAAGGGAGATTCCCTTTAACCATTAAGAGAAACTTGCTAATGGCATGAGCTGTCCAACCGTGGAACAGGCTGTCTCAGAAGATGGCGGGTTGTCCTGTGTTGCAGACATTTATGCAGAAGCTGGGTGGCCATCAGTCCAGGGATATTGGAGTTGCACCTGTACCACAGATCTTGAGTAGAGCAGGCGGTTAAAATAACAGAACCGCAGAGCTGAAGGGGACCACAAAGGTAACCCCCTTTAACAGCACTACTATAGCCTAGAATAGAGGTGGCCATTCAGTAGCTACTTAAGAATCTCAGGTGAAAAATCACCCACCACTTCCTGAGCTTGAACAGCTCATATAGATACCAAGTCCTTTAGCTGACGTCCTTGGGGTTATAATTTGAACCTGCTGGTATATTCAAAGAATGCCGACCCAAATAAAAGCTTTCTTTTGGGTTAGGATTTAAAAAAATAAAAATAAAAATGAAGGCACAAAATTGGGGTATGTGGCAGCATTATTAATAACCCATTCATAATGCCAAAGAGATAATAATAATAATAATAATAATAATAATAATAATAATGCGCCTTGACTACTGTAAGAAATAACAGGGGTCAGAAATTACCTCTTCTGGGTTCAAGGGTGTGAGGAATAGAATACTGCTGTATCTAGAAAGGAGCTGCGACCAAAAAGCAGGAGTGGATTTTTATGCCTGCAGGTTTGCACCGACGCAACAGAAAGGCGCTTTGTTGTCACCAAATTCATGTGAAAGGAGGGGTTTGGGGGGTTATGTAGTGATTCTGTGCTGGAAGATCTTGCTGACACTTTGGGAAGATAGCTGGCTCTACGATCCTTAAGCAACATGGAATTTTTGCTAAGAGAGCAAGATGATGCTTCTGCCGGGTACATGATGTACCTTAGGGAGCTGTCAAATGTATTAATTTGAAGATTGCAATAGATGCCTACTGAATTATTGGCAGCCATCACAACAGCTCATCCGGTCCTCACCAGACGTTTCAGTGCTACAAGGGCAATACAACATAGATTGGACAGCATTACTAAGTATTTAATTTTATCAAAATGTCTCACCCCAAACCCAGCCTGGTATCTAAAACCTCCAGAAGAAAAGAGTGTTCATGTCGATTGACACATAGTAGTGTTTTTCTCAATGTGTCTTTTGTTTTATGTTTTCAGTGCAGCCTGTTAGGCTGTTTTGCATTTTCATGGAAGTATAATGTTGTAGAAACAATCCTTGTGAATTCATGGGCTTATCCATTGGGAAGGACCATAGCTCAGTGCCTTACATGCCTTACATGCAGAAGGTCCCCGTTTCAATCTGCAGGGAGGGCAGTTAAAGATTCCTGTCTGAAACCCTGGAGAGGCTGATGGACCATTCTTGTTGTTGTTATTTTATTTAAAAAAAATTAATTAATTTTCACATTTAAACATTATCATCATCATATAAACCATAACTAACAAAAACAATTAAAATAGAAATAGAAAATAAAACATTTTCACACCATATTAAATCCATATTGTGGTTCGAGGACCCGACCCCCGCGATGTGAAATGAATACACAAGGACACGTGATATAAGGTTAATGGGCATGGAAAGGCCACAACTTTATTGATTACAGCAGTGAAAAGGTATTGGCTTAGGCATTGGATCTCTAAAACACGTGGGTTTATTCACCAGTAGGTGGAGCCTGTTGATGCTAATCCAACTATAGGCTCCCCCCTGATGTCACCGAGGGTCGTGCCATGGCCTCCCGCCAAGCAGGCATCGGACAGAACACACGACCACCAGATTCCTTTAACGGAATACCCAAAATTGAAGGCATAGGCGATGGCCACACCTAGCCCTTCGACACACCACAACACATTATACCAATGCCTAACCTACCCACCAATACCACAAAAGTTGTGACGATTGCTACGAGGTAGGCGAAAAACCAAAAAGCCTAATGCCAAATGGAAAAACTCCTACCAGGCCCCCTGGACAACCAGGGTGACCAACCTAAGGTCCATAGCAAGGCCAATGACCTAAGCCCTAACTCTAAGGGAGTGGAGGGTGGGTGACTCGCGACGAGACGACGGCGAAGAATGAGGCCAGGGAGAGGCTGGCACCGCAGCATAAGGCTGCTGAACACGCCCCCTCCGAGGCACCTGGTTGGATGCCTGCAGAGGGGGCGTGGGCGCCAGCCAGGTGAGGTGGAGGCAGGGGGCAACCGCCCCCTGCTAGGGGCGGTGCTCGGGCTCCCGCCCACAACCACTCCATTAGCTTCCTTACAACGCTTTTGTAAATATGCAATAAACATTTTCCATTCTTTTTTTATATTTGTTGTCTTCTTGATTTCTTAGTCTTCCAGGTAATTTAGCCATTTCAGCATATTCCGTTTATTTAAGTTGCCAGTCATCGTTAGTTGGGACTTCTTTCCAATGTTGAGCTATGAATATCCGGGTGGCTGTTGTTGCATACATAAACAAATTTTGTATTCTTTTGGTATATCCATTCCAGTTATACCTATTAAGAAAGCTTCTGGCTTTTTAAGAAATGTTATTTTAAACTTTTTTTTCAATTCATTATAAATCATTTCCCAAAAACTTTTTATAACCTTACATTGCCACCACATATGGTAAAACATACTGTCAGGGGTTCAGGGAGAGAGGCACAGGGTAGGCAGGAGATGGAGAGCGATGGGGATGAATTCCAAGCCAGCGAGGAAGAGGATGACAATGACTCAAGAGATTCCATGAGTCTTTCCAGCGAATCAGAGGATTCCCAGAAGGGGGCGCCGGTGGTCAAGGCCAGGGGAGCCCCAGGGGGACGTGTCAGGAGCAGGGGGCCAGCGGAGGATCCCAAAGTGGCAGCTGGGCGTCAGGACCAGCCTCCCCACCAGAGTGCAGCGAAGGGGTGGAGTTTCCAGTGTGTCAGGGAAGCAGCTCCGGCAGCAGAGAAAGGAGGGAGGTCAGAGCAAGCCGCCCTCCCGGAGGGGAGGGGAGCAGTGAAGGGAGTAGTATAACTGTCAAAAGGAAAGTTAGAGGTTTGGCCCGCGCGCCAAGTTCAAATGTAGAGGCGCGCGGAAGTACAGGGAGCCCGGAGGAGGGGCCAGGTCCCAAAGCCCGCAGGAGGGGGGAAGAGCAGTCTGATTCTGCGTCAGAGGAATCCAGGAGGAGCGAAACCCCAGCGGGCAGAAGGACCCTGCGGAAAGGAAGGAGAGAAAGAGGTGGAGCAGCGTAAGCCTCTTAAATTGGTGTAGGGGAGGGGCGGATTCAGAGGGGACTTCAGCGGTCTAAGCGTAGCAGACGTAAGGCTGCGCGCCTAGGATGTCAAGCAAACAATGAACTGCAATAAACACTTTTGTATATAAGAAGACATAGGCGTTGGTCTTTTGTGAGCTGAGACTTGAGGCAGCCTTGACACATACCTTCTACTTCTTTACACTTCCAGCACTTATTATCTTTTGTCTTGTGGAATTAGAGTAATAGAAGCCTCTTTCCAAGTCTTTGGTATTTCCCCTATCTTTAATATTTCGTTCATTACATTTTGTAGTGGGTGAATTAAGTAATTTTCTATTTTTTTTGGTAGTATTTTGCTGTTAGTCCATCTGGGCCTGTTGCTTTTCCTGTTTTTGCTTGTTTAATGGCATTTCTGCTATATTAATTGGTGCATTTAAAATATTCAACTTTTCATATGGAATTTCTGGCAACTTATTTTCTCTTATATTTCTTTCAATTTCTATTTTATCTCCTGGTCTGGCTCGGTATAGGTCCGAAAAATATCAGAAGAAAGCAACCACTAATGTTCCTGTGATAGTATGGTTGTTATCTACATACTCTTTGAGTTGCAACACTGTGCAGATGTGATGAAACCCAAGACACATGCAGCATAGCCTACATAGAAGCAGGGGTTGTTTCTTTACAGAAGTCAGTTCTATTCAAGGAATCCTCTCTTTGAAGGACTATCCAAGTCTGGTTTAAAGGTCAATTACTGAAAAAACAAGAGTAGGGGTCTTGATGTTGCCTATCAACTGTGAGCACGTGGAACGAGCAGCTGGTGCATTTCAACTTTTTTGGCGATGAGTTAAGTGGCCAACTTACCCATAAGTTTCTTCTGTGTAGGAAATTTGTCTCGCATGCATTCATCCACACATTGCAAGGAACCCTAGTAGGAATGTTTACTTACTTATTCTCCATCAGCCACAGCAAAAGAATATAAGAAGCAGAAATCTGGATGAGCCCTTAGCTTCCTTGGAAGACTGCAGGTTCTTAGGTTTATGCACGAGGGAAAAACATTTTTCTTTCTCCACTTTCTCTACCCTGTGCATAATTTTATTGTTCCCTATCATGTCTCCCCTTACTTGCTTTTTTCCTAACCTGAAAAGTCCCCACTGCAGCAACCTTTCCTCACAGAGGAGCTGCTCCAGCCCCTTGACCATTTTGTTTGCATTTTTCTGCACCTTTTCCAGATCTACACTATATCCTTTTCGAGGTGCAGCAACAATACCAAAACACAGTATTCAAAGTATGTGATCACACCGTAGACTAGCATCAGACTATTGGCAGTTTTATTTTCAATCTCTTTCCTAACATGAATTTCACCTTTTTTCACAGCTTCTGTACACTGGGTCAATATCTTCATTGAGCGATCCACTATATGAAGTTAGGATTTCTTGCTTCAATGTACATACACTTACATAGAACAATATTTTCCATTTTAAGGCCCATTCACCCAGTTTGGAACAATTGTTTTGGACCTCTTTGGATCCCTTCTTTCCTTTGAAATACTGAATATTTTAGTTTCATCGCTTGACCACTTCACTGTCACTCGCAACTCTATTATGAACAAATTAAAAACACTGGCACCAATACAGACCCTTGGAGACACCCCTTCTTACATCCATCCATTGTGAGAACTGTTTCCTGTTCTTAACCAGTTACAGATCCATGAAATAATATGTCTCTTATCTAATAACTGCTAAGCTTACTCTGGTGCTTTTTTGGTGTGGGACTGTACCAAAGGCTTTTTGAAAGTCTAAATACACACTCTGTACTAGATCACCCCTATATAGTTATGGACCCTCTCTATGAACATAGTTATGGACCTCCTCTATGAACTCTAAATGTTGATTAAACAGGAATTACTTTCACAGAAGCCATGCTGGTTCTCCTTCAGCTTGCCTCCTTTCCTAGATGCTTCACAATTTCATATTTAATAATGTTCTCCACCACTTTTTCCAGAACAGATGTTAAGCTAACTGGCCAGCAGTTTCCCTGACCTCCTCTGCATCCCTCTCAGTGTGTTCTGATTTTAAACACCAACATTTGGTTGACCTGGAGCCTGACACTTTTTTGTAGAGAACCAGTTTGTCACACACACACCCCAAATTCCCCCATGCCTAACAAATCAAACTCCTCCTACTGACACCCATCATCTCATCAATGCATTGAGAGTCCTCAACGTTTCATGTCTTATTGGCCTTGCATGTGGATCTGGTAGCAGTTCTGAGAAAGCAACTTTGAAGATTCTGGTTTTCAAGCCTCTACCTAACACCTGAAATGTCACTTCCAGAACTTCGCCTCTACACTTCCACAGGTTATTGAACCACTGACACTTCCCCATCATTAACAACCAAGCTATCTAGATGATGTGTCACATTCTCAACTTTTGACCTGGCAGGTAAGTCACCATGAAGTCCACACACCCATTCCAAACCCTAATGATTGAATCACTCACTACCAGGAAACTCCCACCCCCTGGAGGAGTTTCTTTGGCATGAGAGGATATTGCTTCAATCACAAGGAAAATGCAGCCAGAACAGACTCTGTAATGGGGGGGGGGGGAGAGAGAGAGAGAGACTGCCAGTTTGGGAAATAACTTTGAAATCCATAACATCAAGCTGACAGCATTACCATATGTTGTATTGGTATGGGTAATTGAATGCATTTAGCTGCGCATCAACACAATTATGGATACAATAAGATACAATACAATTTTATTACAGAATAAAAACAAACAGCATACAGCAGGGATGGGGAACCTGTAGCCCTCCAGATGGTAATAGATTCCAGCTCCCATCAGCTCCAGCCATCATTGCCAATGGTTGGGGGTGATGGGCTTGCAGTTCAACATCTGGATGGCCACACAGGTTCCCTACCTCTTGCATACCATATTTGAAAATACAAAATACAATACAACCATACCATTCACTGACCAGCCTCTTCTGATCGCATCTGAAGAAATAATAATTCGGCAGCGATACCGTCTGGTGGTTTGGTAGGAGGGACATGCATCATATGAGAGATAAAAGGGTGTGGGGATGCAAAAAAGCAAGCAAGAGCAACCATTTGTTCTTCTTCAGTCCCAGGGGAAACTCACACCCACACCTTTAATGTGAGATGGATAAAAACGGTCAAAGCGTTCGTTCTGTGCCACTGTGACGTGGTTCTTCCAATCCCCGGGTAGCCCTGAAAGACCACAAGAGGGACTCGTAACCACAAAGATGTTCAGCCAGAATTATTTCAGCACTGGCTTCAGTTCCTGATTAACTTTATCCATTGGTCAATGGCAGTTCACAGGGAAAGACTCTCCACCCGCCCCGCCCCCTTTGCCTAATAGCCTTTATCTATGGACTCCACCATAAGCTATATTGTTACCTGTCAACACAAGCGGCTGTTTAATGTGCATCGAAACACTTCCTCGCTTCCGAGATGAGATGGGCATAGTCTCATTCTTCACTTTCTGGAAGGAGGGGTTTTCCGCCACAGAGTCAATTTGCTGGCTGTTCAGCTCCTTGCCAAGGAACTGGCAGATCTTCTCCACACTCCCTCGAAGGTCCTGCAGAAGGGGAAAGCAAATGACTGTGAAACTGATGAAGAGGCACACAGAGGGCATTACTGCTAGTTTGTAGGGTGCATTTAACAATACTGATGCCATGGGTGTATTGACCTCTCAGCCACCATGGTGAGGAAGCCAGAGCAGAATCCTGTTCTCAAAAAATTGCCTTTCTTTTTGTCTCAGACTGCCTCTTGGCCTGCTCAGCACCGAAGGAGCATCTGAGACAGCAGCAGACCTTGGTTGTGTCCGCATTAGGTCACTGAGTCCATGTGCAAATTTGTTTGCCTTCATCCCGTTTTGATTTTATGCCTCCAAAATCCGTCCTGTTGCTTCCTGTCTATACTAGTGGGTGATGCTTGATGGAATGTTTTCATGCTGTGTGTCTCCACACTCCTTCTCAATTAGTATATCCTTGTCCTTCACAAGTTCTGGAAAACTGAGGTCCATTATAGGCTATTTGTTTATCTGTGTGCACACTTTAAAAAAAAAATCGGGGGGGGGAGGAATACAAGTTTTTTAAACTATCAGATTTGCACAAAATATTAAATTTGTGTGAGGTTCCAAATGTTGTGGGCATGCAAGTATTTGTTTCCCTGTGCACAGACACCTAAAATGTTGTGGGCATGCAAGTATTTGTTTCCCTGTGCACAGACACCTAAAAGAAAAAGTCTTTTTTTGAAGTAAGAAGTTGAAGAAAATACAAGTAAAAGGAGATATTGAAATAAATACAAAATAGCTAATCTGGTGGCATTCCTGGTCTGATGTGGGACAAAGGAAGGGCACTCTGCACATGATATAAAGCTCTTTTCCATTAAGTGACTTTCCTATTAGGTTTATTTACCACCCTGAGCCCGGTCTTGGCTGGGGAGGGTGGGGTATAAATACATTTATTATTGTTATTATTATTATTATTATTATTAATCATGTAGAGAGGCAGAAAGGAATACTGCACATGTTTAAATGTATCTAGCAAACAGTACCAGAATTTACAAAAACGAAAATGGTGAAAACCTTTTCTAAACTTCTTTGAGGGTTTTTTTTTTAATCAAGTGCTATATAAATTTTATGAAATAGATAAGCAATAAACAAGGTGAGGTAACTATGGATGTGTGAATATAACAATGGGCTCATTTACACTTCCGCTTTTCTGCCACTTTCCCCCAGGAAAACCCGCTGTTTATAGCTGACTTGGAGCAAACATCAATCAGGTTTTTCTCCAGATGGACGTTTGCTCAGACTTGGCGCTAAAGAGCAGGTTTTCCAGGGGAAAGCAATGGGGCAAATACAAAACGGCTTGGACTCATGCCTAGAAAGTATGAGTTACAAGCAGAAAACGGGCTGGACCCATGCTTCCTAGCTATGGGACAAGCTGAAGTGTGGACAACTCCAGGACAAGTGCTAAGGTTGGACCACACCTGTTTTAACTCTTCAACCGTGATGAAAAGGAAGTTTTCCCTTTTCTTCATCTGCAGCCAGCCTTTCACGTGGTCAAACCAGGAGCCATGGGACACTGGAAGAGGAAAACGGAGGCACCAGTAAGCATCAACAGTAGGGAGGTGTGTCAAGGAAGACTAGGGGAGAACAGACTAACCAAGAAGGTAGCAAGGAACATCTAATGCTTTTCTCAAACAAAAGCACAATAGCAGCAGGAGACTCCTGAATCCTATCCAGATACTGCCAATTAGTTACTAGACTATATAATGGCACAGAGTTTCGGGTGAGACAGCAACTTTACCACTTCTTTTGGACCACACCTCCCATCAGCCCCAGTGTCAGGGTGCTGTCAGCGGCTTCCAGCTGGTTGCCCAGGAAAGTATACAGACAAGGAAAAGTTTCTTACTGTCCTTTTTCATTTCAATCTTTATAGAGAGGGACTATAGAACCCAGCCTCTTGGATAATGGCGTTGTTCCAAGTGAATCTCCACCCTCCGTCCCTCCCACTTCCTCATTCGCCACTTCTACGGGTGCTGCTATGTGCCCTCTGTCTTTGAGCTCTTTGCTCTCCTACTTTCAAGGCTCACCGGGTTCCGTGAGATGGAAGGTCTGGGGTGCTTTCTAATGGCAACGTGTCAGCCGGGTGTTGTCCTGGCTATCCCATGATTTTCGAGCTTTACCCCTCATCTTCCTCTGAGCAGCTACCTCCCTCAAACCCCTGTTGTAAATCTAGACTGTCTTCCTCTTCCTCCTCCCTGGAAGGGTCAGGATGTGGAGGCGGTCTCCACCATTCCTCCTCTGCCCAGTCCCTGGCACTCAGCAAGTATAGCCTGTGGTCAGGAATGATGGCATTTGTAGTCCAGTAACAACTCCAGTGTCACATTCCTTATACTATTGCCCCAAAACACTGAATTTGAGACCCCACTATATCCCCGCCCCACACATTCAGGCCATTCACTACTTAAGGACGTTATTAATTTTAAAAGGAAATGAGTTTAACTAACATGGCACCTCCCACCTTCCTTCTGATTTATCCCTGCTGGAATTACAGTTCTACGATAGGTCTCTAGTGATGGTTAAAAAGAGAGACTTCATGGTGCCATGGAGCAGACCTTTGGGCTGCAACAGAGGGGGATGATCCCAGGGCTGTCTTTACCTGGGGGTGCAAGAGGTGCAGGGCACCCAGGCGCCGAATTCTGCGGGGCGCCATGCACCCGCTGCTGAAGCCACCTAAGCTCTTAACTATCTAGCTGTTATGAAATAATAAATAATTCTGATCAAGCTAGAAAAACAAAATACATATATACCTAGTACAGTGGTGCCTCGCAAGACGAAATTAATTCATTCCACGAGTTTTGTCGTCTTGCGATTTTTTTTGTCTTGCGAAGCACGGTGTCGGGAAGGTTTTGGAAAAGCTTCAAAAATTACCAAAGTCTTTAAAAACCTCAAAAAAGGCTACCACACCGCGTTCTATGAGTTGCTCCTCAAAGTCAAGTCGCAACTGTATTAACAGTGTTAAGAAAAAGGAAACAAACTTGCAAGACGTTTCCGTCTGGCAAAGCAAGCCCATAGGGAAAATCGTCTTGCGAAGCAGGTCAAAAAACCAAAAACCCTTTCGTCTAGCGAGTTTTTTTGTCTTGCGAGGCATTCGTCTTGCGAGGTACCACTGTAAAGGTAAAGGGGACCCCTGACCATTAGGTCCAGTCATGACCAACTCTGGGGTTGCGGCGCCCATCTCGCTTTATTGGCCAAGGAAGCCGGCGTACAGCTTCCGGGTCATGTGGCCAGCATGACTAAGCCGCTTCTGGCGAACCAGAGCAGCGCATGGAAACGCCGTTTACCTTCCCGCCGGAGCGGTACCTATTTATCTACTTGCACTTTGCCGTGCTTTCGAACTGCTAGGTTGGCAGGAGCAGGGACCGAGCAACGGGAGCTCAGGTATTACCAAAATGTATACCTGCTGTTTCACTAAAGGACTTTTGACTTTGTGCGCTCATTTACCAAAGAAGCGCCAAGTCAGCAGCGGTGCTTGTCATTCACCACGGTGGCGCTTTTCAGACTCAACGAGGGCGCTTGCCATTCTCAATGGCGCCATGCATGCGAAATTAACTAAATTTGGGGGCGCTGGGCGGATCTTTGCACCCCAGCCATGCATATGCTAAAGACGGCCCTGGGTGAGCCGATTTGCCTCTTTCCATACCGTTCCCATCTAAGAACTCCTCCAAGAACTCATCCAGACTTCCAGGATCCTTCCATTTTTTATGGCAGTGGTGGAACAATACCAGCACATCCTTGGGGTTTCGTAGGGTGTAAATAACCTGGAAGAGAGGCAGCGGGCACATTTTAAGGAAGGAGCAGCAGGACAAGCTCTAACGTTGGGTAGAATGTGGCGGCCAAGTTGGGTGTCAGGAAATTAGCTATTTATTGTAGTTTTATTATGTGATAGTTATTTATTGTTTGTAAGCCGCTTTGAGATTCACTTGAATGAAAAGCGACATGGAAACAAATCAAATCAAATAGTCATATTGTTACAAAGGTTGCATGCCACCCCAGTCTGCTGAGCAGTGGCAGGATCCCAGAGGGTTCCAGGCTCTCTAGCAGGGTTGCTTCAATCGGGAAATCGAGGCACAGCAGAGACGAATATCTTTAAGAAATATGGAAATGGAGCACAGCCTCCATTGTGCTACATTTCCAAAGAAAACACAACCCTGGTGAAGTGCCAAGACCCCTGAAATCCTGTGCACCACTTGGCAGAGACTGGGGTGGCCCATAATAATATGCATTTTTATGTTCATCTTTGTACAAATTACCTGGTGGGAGGACTGCATTGAAAATAACTGGGAGGTACAAATTTAGAAGGATCACTGTCAGTAGATTTGCCTTTCAATGCACACTGAATCAAATTTCTCTCCCACCCCTAATCCCAGATCATATTTGATTTTACCTCAGAGCACCTATATTTTAGAGTTTTGTCTCTCTGAGGATTTAGGATTTTGAGATGTAGGTAGCTCTGAAAATTGCTTTAATCCTGCACTTAGCAACTATGTCTGGGGTTTAAAAAATAACAGCAGGTGTTGGGTGATTTGCCTTGAGTCCATAGAGGAGGGGCAGTTTTCACCAGGATCACAGCCAGGAAGGGAAAGGTTAAACATCGCCTTTCTATATACTATGGTTCCAATGAAAATCACCCCCTCCCCCAAAGAGCAAGAACAAGCTATTAGCTATGCAATTACTATAATAGGAAGTTTGACCCTGAGAAAAGCTGGAAGCAAAATGAAGGGGAATTTTCTTGCTTCAATTTTCTTTGCAACCTTCCCTGAATTTATAGTCTCATAATTCACACGTTGTCCCTTCAATTTTAGGGACCTTTTGGGGATGCAGGTGAGAAAAATTAAAAAAGAATTAAATTTCAAAAAGGGCTAACTTTTACAGGTCCTTAAAAAGTTTTCCTGAACCTTAAAGGTAAAGGTAAAAGGACCCCTGAACATTAGGTCCAGTCGTGGCTGACTCTGGGGTTGCAGCACTCATCTCACCTTATTGGCCAAGGGAGCTTCTGGGTCATGTGGCCAGCATGACTAAGCCGCTTGTGGCGAACCAGAGCAGTGCACGGAAACGCCATTTACCTTCCCGCCAGAGCGGTACCTATTTATCTACTTGCACTTTGACGTGCTTTCGAACTGCTAGGTTGGCAGGAGCAGGGACTGAGCAACGGGAGCTCACCCCATCACAGGGATTCAAACTGCCAACCTTCTGATCAGCAAGTCCTAGGCTCTGTGGTTTAACCCACAGTGCCACCCGCATGTGTAAATAGTAGAAACCTGTGATATCTTGTCTCTTTGAGATTTATTCAAGAGCAGGTGTCTGGTGCTCCCTTATGGGGCAGAGGAAATGGGACTGGTGTGGGGTTTTTTAAAAAAAATCATTTTCTTGAATTCATTTCCCCGTGAAGATCCCCTCCATTAAGGAAAGAGACGTGAACATTGCCAGTGGATTGAAAAAGTTAGTCTCTGCCTCACCATACAGATATGGCTTCAGGACCCACCTGCATGGCTTCCTACTTGCCAAATCATCACATCAGCTAGTCTGGCCCTCAGAAGCGAAAGCTGAAAACACAGTTTGAACTCTGACATTTTGCCTAATTTTGAAAGTGAGACGTTTCATTGCAACTCCCAGCTACAGCGAGAGCTTTGGGGGCAGCCTAGCAAACTGGGGCCACAGCAGTCCTCTGCTGAGGTCATGGACTGAACATTACCTATTCATACCATTCTGGAATTAAGATGATGGTTAAAGAGTCTTTCCTATAGTGATCTCTAAGCTTGTACTATTACTGCTGCTACTACTACAAACAACTCTCGTGGCACCTTCCTGTAAATACTGTATTGACAGTACGGAATTCCCAGTATCTTTACTGCAGACAGACATGATCAGGCTTTTGCGTGTGAATTGTTCCCCTCTTACCTTGGCCTTGGACTCGAGAAAGGTCTTAGGGAAAAGGTTTATTGGAAGGTGAGAAGCCAAGATTCTGGGTGGAGGATATTTCAAGGCAGTCTTCATGCCATCAAAAGTCTCGATCCAGGTTATTTTCTCACTGCAAACCCACGAGGGGTCCCATTCTTGCTGGATCGCTGACAAGATCTCTGCCATCCAATGGCTACCTAGGAGGGAGTATAGCAATCATAGGGCTACCTCTTCTCCCACAGCCCTTTTGGTTCTGCAATGCACACCTTACAACTACTTTGACAACCAAAGCAAACCTCCTGGCAACATGAAATTATTAGTGGTGAGGGGATGTGACTGTTTTAAATGTTTTTGAATTGTCTGGTGTTTTCATGTGTATTGATTTTTTTGAAAAAAATCTTATTATTTTAATATTATTGCTTTAACATTTTAGTGTTTGCTGCCCTGGGCTCCTATGGGAGGAAGAGCAGGATGGGCATTTAATAAATAAACAAGATAAATGATTTGCCAATGCCAATTCAAATGACCTTTCCCTGTTTATGTTCTGCAGCTCTCATTCCACACACTGTCTTTCCTACCTGACTTGGGGTAAGAGACACTCAGTAGATCGTCATCCAAGAAGCGAAATTCTTTTTCCAGATAGGTGAGCGATTCTGCTGAGGACAGCGCTGTGGGGAATAAGATCCCATTGTAGACGAAAAATGGTGATGACATTGAAAAACGCTAAAGACATCAAAATAAATAGATCAGTAACCTGGACCAAGAAAGTTGTGCAACCTGTTACAAAGCATTTTAATTCTGATGGCCCTCACCCTTTCTGGACTGGAGGTATCGTAGAAACTTTTCTGCATAAAGATGAGCAATGGGAAAGTTGGTAGATGGACCAATGGTGTGATATGGTATAAGGCAAGTTGCAATGTTTAATTAAACATTCAGCCCTTCATTCCAAGCCATGAATGGGAATCTTGCTAAAGGGCTAGCATGGTGTAGTGGTTAGTGTCATACTGGAACCTAGGATGCCAGGGTTCAAATCTCCACCCAGCCACTGGGTGACTTTGGGCCAGTCACTCACTCTCAGCCTAACCTACCTCACAAGGTTCTTGTGAGGATAAAAGAGGAGATCTATGTACGCCACCTTGAGCTCCCTGAAGAAATGTAATAAATAGATATAAAATACATATTTTTTCTATGGGGCAACCATCAAATCCACCATTATAAGAGGATTTCTGAATCAGTCATCTTAAGGCACAAATAATCAACAATGGTTTTCATCTAGAATACAATGCTTGTTTCCCATGTAGCCTTTTCCTTTTCTTAAATTAAAAACAACAACAATGTATTGTGTATGACACACTCCTTAGAATTATTCCATCCCGAGTGTTCTTAAAACTGTCATCCAGGCTAATGGTGTTCATTTGAAATCCCAACTGTATCCCTGAGGAAGGTAGAAGTCTAAACATTTAGCTACATAGTCTTACATACTGTATGGCTTCCCCGCCTCAAACTCTATCTCTCTCTTATACACACACTTAAATATATATTGATACACTTATAGTGATTTAGAGATAGATATGTTATCATGCCTTAAGTGTCAGTTTGCATTTCTTAGTGCAGAAAGCATTGATCTGATATGCAGAGATCTTTCCTATTCTAATTAATTCAAGAGGGTTATGGAAGCTTCTCTGTGTGAAAGAAACAAGCAGAAGGTTCATGATGTTTGGCTTATTCCTTCAGAGAAGCTGAGTACAGCTGGCTTAAACTGGTTGTGTTATCTCTTCTGTCAAGGTCATGCTATAAAAGGAAGGCCAGAAGGATCCTGGGTTTCACTTTCACTTTCTATCTCTCTTCTTGTGTGGTGTTCTGTATATAGTGTTAAGGTTTTGTCTTATTAAAAGTTATTGTAAGTTTAAGTCTGCTGCAACTCGATTTCTTATGGGCAGTACCAATCCTGGATGTATTGGATTTGTGACCATTATGCACATTTGCCTTCAGTAGCAGTAAAGCTCTACTGGATGAAATATTAATTGCGTCTGGTCTATTTATTGGGAATCCTGCAACGTGTTTTAAGTTTTTTGCTCTGCTAACTATACGCTGGAGTTCGGCGCCGGATCAATATGAGTAGAAGCTGGGTAGATTACTTCTGAAATCCCTGAGAATGGTGCTTTGCAGATAGATAGATAGATAGATAGATAGATAGATAGATAGATAGATTTTAATGGGCAGCCTATGGCACCTACCAACAGAAGACCAGGCAAGTGAGCTGTCCAATGATGAGGCAGATGACTAGTTGGAGGCTTCTCTGCTGCTCCTTCTTCTACCTGTCTCATTCTGAGGAGGAGGAGCCAATTGGGTCCTTCCTCAAAGTGAGACATTCCAAGTGAGGTGGCCCGGAAACTGCCTGTGCTGCCCACCATGTTTTGCTGCTCCTCAACACCACCATCATCAACAATAAAATTCTACCCCACCTTTTTCCCTGACAGGGACTCAGGGTGGCTTACATGTAAAATACAAACAATTAAAAACAAAAGAGGGACAGATTTTTTTTTATTAAAAAAAACCCAATCAAACGTTGTATATTATCTCTTAAAGACATACAGATAATGGACAAGGTGGGTTTGGGCTTTCCAGGTGTCTTCTTTCCCCCAATGCCATACCTCAGTGAACCAGTTGCAGTTTATCAATTAACCATGCAATGGTGATCAGTAAACAATTTTCAGTGTGGTTTAATAATCTATTGTTCTTCACCAGAAACTCTGAGAATTGTAGGCAAGGGAATGGGGGTCTTCTAACAACTCTCAGCACCCTTAATAAACTACAGCTCCCAGGATTCTTTGGGGGAAGTATTGGCTGTTTAAAGTGCTAGCGTCGTGCTTTAAATGTATGGCATGAATGTGGCTGAGCTGGCATCCGGGTGTGTTGCAGGTTCTAGTTCCTGTGTTTACTTCTCTGTCATGCTGTCTGTTGTTGATGGTAGTAAGCTGTTTCAGGCTGAGTTGTGAGCTTCTCTTTGTCAGATCAAAATAATAGCAGTTGTGTCACAGGGCTTCTTTGCAGAGTTGGAGCCTGTTCACAAGTCCCAAGGCACCCAGAGAAACCCATGAGGCATGCACCAAATTATTTCATCTCCAGTGGGCCAGATTGTATCTTAAGGCCCTCCTTAAAGCCAGAAATCAGAACAGCTTCTACCAGTAGTGTCCAGTTAGAAGTGAGCAAAGGGTTCTAACTAGAAACCACTAGCAAGAAGACATGTTGACTTCAAGGAGAGGAGGTAGGCAAGAAATGGTGACGCCTCTTCCTTGGTGCAAGAAGAAAAGGCAGGCAATGATGGAAGAATGAGAAGTACAGCTGCTGCAGCCTGAAGAATTGGGGGGGGGGGAATGAGCCCTCCATCCCATTTGTGTGGGATGGAGGGCTCATAAACCTGTCTAGTAGAGTCAAAAGGTGTGACAGTAGTGAAGTAAACAACTTAAACAAATTAAAATTACTCCTGTGACTTTCTGTAGTTTGCTGGAACACCCATGAAAAACATCTTGTTCCTATGGTAACTCCAGCAAATGCAGCTGAGTGGATGAACTACAGGGAGCCAGAAGGGACATTTTAATAAATTCCAGTAGGTGCTGAAAGCCCAGAAGCTTAAAAAGAAAACCCTTAAAAGGAGTCACACATTTAAATAAAAAATACAACAAAACCATACAATTTCTATTCAGAAATCTGTTTATTTAGCAGGATGCACCTCAACCACGAGAGGCATGAGGATCAAACATAGCAGGAAGAATAATCTGACATTCTTCAGTCCCATGGAAATGTCATGCGCAGACCCTGCATGTTCTCACGATAAACATGGTCAAAGTGTTCATTCTGTGCCACAGTCAGGTGGTTCTTCCAGTCCCCACAGATACCTGGAACAACACAAGAGGCTGTGAAACCACTTGGTAACCACAAAAAAGATCCACTAAAATTACTTCAACTAAAATCAGGACCCCATTTCATCTTGCTCAGGACTTGCCCTTCCACTGGTTGAAGCAAGGCAGCTGCCTCAAGTGGCTTTTTTTAGGAATAGCAGGACCTGCTCCCTGGCTGTTCTTCCCAGGCCCTCCCTCAACTGGTACCCCAGGAGTAGTTATGCTTCCATGTTGATGGCTTAGACTTACTTAGCTGCATTTTCCTAAAGCTTCACAAGTAAGAATGGGCAAATCTGTCAATTTTGGTTACTCTCCTTTTCTCCTTTCCTCCCCAAATCTTAAATTCAGTTGCCCACATTATAACATCCGTTTGTAATTTTTTAAAAAAATCCTTCAAAAATCCACCAGCATTTTAATGCAAATTTATCCTAATTACACATTTTTCATGCAAGAAACAGGTTGTTGTTGCTTTTGTTGCAAATATGTATGTTATTGTCAGTATATGCATTTATATGCCTACATTATGCTAGCAGTGACATTTTGTACCGATTACTTGTCTGGAATACAGCATTGAAAAATCTGGAGTAGTGTGAATTTCGAAGAATGGTTGTGTTTCAGTACAAGAAAGTGTCAGTTAAGTAGGTTCACTTAAGGTGAACGGAATCAAATTCCCCCACACTCCAATACCTCTTTCTTTTTCTCCCCCCACCTCCCCCCCTCTTTCACACTCACATGCACACACAAAGGTTCTTCATAGCTTGCATAAGCCATGGCCTTGGTCTCTCATGTAAATTGTTACCTTTCCTCATGAGCTTTGCTTTTGTGTGATCAAAATAGGTATCTGAAAATTGAGTATTATTGGACATCTTGTTGTCCTTCATCTTGTGGAAGGAGGCATTTTCCACCACAGAGTCAATTTGCTGACTATTCAGCTCTTTACCAATAAAATGACAAATCCTCTTCACACTTCCTCGGAGGTCCTGCCGAAGGAAAAAGCAAATGAGTGAATCCTCACATTGACACTGCCATAAGGAGATCTATTCCACCTGGCCTTTGGTTTGGACTCAGTCTGACCGTTATTGTCAGGGAACTGCCATCAGTGTCCGAGGGAGAGAGCAAGCTCCAAAGGGATCGCGGAGAGCGTCCCGGGAGTGGGAGAGGCAGCCCGTCTTCTGGGGAAGAGAATCAACGTAGCTCCAGTGGAGAAGGGGGGCAGATGGGGGAATCGGTGAGGCGGTCCCATGACTCCTTGCCGGGGACCAGCGGGGAGAGGAAGGGTCCTCCGCTGCCTACGCCCTCCTTGCGCAGAAGGCTTCCGCGCAGGGAGAGTAGGAGGAGACTTGGCGTCAAAGAGCTTCTTTGCTGGAAGAAGTTTAAGAAACGCCCACTGACGGATTCTGCCAGCGATTGAGACAGTCATGGGCGAGTGGCTGCCCGGACAGGAAAGGTTCACTCAGGCAACCCAGCCAGAGGTTGGGACAAGCTTACGCACGAGCAACCCCTAGAACCATTACAGCAATCCATCAGTCCCTGACGTTGCTTGTGCGCAGTCCCGAAGAGGCAGCAAGATGAGCCAAACAGAGCCGGCCGGAGGGACAGAGCAAGAAGCCCTGGTGCGAGGTCTGGTCGAGAGGAACCGAGACCTGGAGGCGCATGTAGCTACCCTGACAGCGCGGCTGGAGGAGAGACGGGCTCAGGATGCACAGGTCAGAGCCACCGCGATAGGGAGGAAGGTTCAGGGGCTGGTACACAAGTTTGGTGGAAAGCCCCAAGACTACAAAGCCTTCCGAACTGAAATTCAGTACACTTTGGAAGTGCAGAAAAATGACTTTGCTGATAACGGGGAGAGGGTGGCTTACATTGTTGGACTTCTGCAGGATGGGGCGCGCAAATGGATCAGGCCCCTAATGGCGATGCAGAATGATGCATTGAAAGATCTTAAGAAATTCTACCAGGGAATGGACGCGATGTTCTCCAGCGAGATTGAGCAAAGTGTGACACGGAGGGAGCTTATGGGGTGCAAGCAGGGGAGCCTGTCCGTCAGAAACTACTGGTCGCGTTTCGCGATGTTAGTCCACAAACTTGGCTGGGATCTGGGCTCTGAACCGATGCAAATGTTGTTTGAGGCGGGTTTGTCCCCCGAAGTGAAAAACGAGTTGTCCCGAGCGCCCCGCCCACGGTCAATGGATGAACTCACAAAGACTGTGCTTGCGATCGGTGTACGCCAGGAAGCGCGGGCTCAAGAGAAGCGGGAGATAAGGGCGGAACGTTTCCATGACAACCGCATTCCGGAGATGCCGAGGGAGCCTTCCCAGGCGGCGGAGCCGATGGAAATTGATGGAGCGCGCGCGCATGAAGTTTCAAACGCTGGTGAAGGCCAGAAAAGGGAGGGGAAGGAGTGGAAAACTACCAAGAAGTGTTTCCTCTGTCAGCGACCGGGACATTTTGCAAAGGTCTGCCCTCAACGTAAAGCCTGGCAAGGCATGATGGGGGCTGCAGGCCACGACGAGAAGGGGGAGGAAGGGCCGGTGCAGGGAAACGGCAAAGCCTGGCTGCCAACCAGCAGGGGCAGCAGCCAGGCCAGCAACCAATAGAAGTGCCCCAGCCTGACCCCCCCCCCCAAGGCAGCTACAGCCATAGAGGTGGTGCTAGAACTCCCAAATGGGCACCCCGTCAAAGTGAAGGGGCTGCTAGATTCTGGCAGCTCGTGTAATTTCTTCAGCAGAGACTTCGCTCTGGAACACCAACTCCACCTGTTACCACTAGACTTTCCCTTGCAGGTGACCACCATCGATGGCAGGGAACTCCTGGGGGGGAAGTGATGCACCAGACACCGCCAATGTGAATGAGGGTTTCCAGGCACACGGAAGCCATTGCCTTTCACGTGGCCACGCTGGCAGGACCCCCAATAATACTGGGAATGAGCTGGCTGGCAATGCATGACCCAGTGGTGTCATGGCATCAGCGGTCGGTCACCTTTGGGTCAGCTTACTGCTTAGAGCACTGTCTGGAAGGGAAGGAACCCCGAATGGCTGTGGCCAGGGTGGCTGGGTTGGCCCTGGAGCAAAAAGGGGAGGTGCCACCACAATATGCTGATCTGAAGGAGGTCTTCAGCGAAAGGGAGGCAGACAAGCTGCCCCCCACAGGCCCTTTGACTGCCAAATCAACCTGCTTCCAGGGGCTCAGTTACCAGTGGGTAATCTGTATGCCATGTCCGACCGGGAGATGCAGGAGCTATGGCAGTATATTGACAAGAACCTGAAGAGAGGTTTCATAAGGGAATCCAAGGCGATGGGGGGCAGTCCAGTGTTCTTTGTGGACAAAAAGGAGACTAACCAGCCCAGATTAGTCGTGGATTACAGGGCCCTAAACCTGGTGTCAGAACCCGTGACGTTCCGAATGCCCAGGATTGATGATATTTTGACACATGTGAGGCAGGGGAAGATTTTTACCAAGCTGGACCTCAGGGGAGCCTACAATCTGATTAGGATAAGGGAGGGGGACGAATGGAAAACAACTATGTTCACCCCCCTGGGGGCTTTTGAGTACTTAGTCATGCCATTTGGATTACAATCGGGCTCTGCCTGCTTTCAAGCATTCATGCATCATGTGTTGGGGCCCCTGCTGTACAAGAATTGCGTAGCCTTTTTGGACGACGTCTTAATCTATTCGGACGATGAAAAGCAACACGTCGGAGATGTCAGGGAGGTGCTACAGAGATTGAAGAAGCATCAGTTGTGGGTCAAGCTGGAAAAATGCCAATTCCATGCCAAGGAGGTCGAATTCCTAGGCTACAGGCTGTCAGACAAAGGGATGGCCATGGATCCGGGCAAGGTAAAGGCAGTGCTGGAATGGAAAGCCCCAAAAAACAGAAAGGATGTGCAAAGGTTCCTCGGCTTCAGCAACTTCTACAGGAAGTTCATAAAGAACTTCGCTCACTTGACAGCGCCCATAACGGATTGTCTTAGTAGCAAAAAGAAGTTCACGTGGACAGAGGATGCGCAGCAATCCTTTGAAAAACTGAAGAGGGCGTTCGCCTCGGAAGAGCAGCTCTTGCACGTGGATCAGGAGAAGCCCATGAGACTGGAAATGGACACGTCTGACCGCGCCATTGGAGCGGTCCTTTTGCAACCCGGGGCCAAGCAGAACTGGAGGCCGTGTGCCTTTTTCTCCAGGAAGCTGAGCAAGTCAGAGCAAAACTACACCGTGTATGACCGAGAACTGCTTGCGATCTATGCGGCATTTCGGCGATGGAGACATCTGTTGATAGGGGCGCGGCACAAGATCCAGGTCCGAACTGACCACAAGAATTTGGAATACTGGCGGACCGCGCGAGTGCTCAACCAGAGACAGATCAGGTGGTCCCAGGAGTTCGCCAAGTTTTCCTTCGAGATCCGATACGTGCCGGGAGAGGAGAACGTAAGGGCAGACGCTCTCTCCCGGAAACCGGAGTACATGGAAGGAGAAGGGCCACCAGAGACCAGGCACGTGTTCCCCGAGGACCGGTGGGTGTGGGGGGGGCGTTGGTTGGCAAACGAGAACTGGCAGGGCTCACCAGAGACGATGAGTTTGCTCAGTCAAAGATCAGGGAGCTCAGGGACGGAAAGGAAGTCCATGGAGGGTTTGAGGAAAAGGAAGGTCTACTGTACTATAAGGGTGCGCTGTATGTACCGGGGGAGACTTGGCGTCAAAGAGCTTCTTTGCTGGAAGAAGTTTAAGAAACGCCCACTGACGGATTCTGCCAGCGATTGAGACAGTCATGGGCGAGTGGCTGCCCGGACAGGAAAGGTTCACTCAGGCAACCCAGCCAGAGGTTGGGACAAGCTTACGCACGAGCAATCCCTAGAACCATTACAGTTATGTTTCCCTCCCCTTATGGTTTTGATGAGGCTGCATTTTAAATTTCATTTTAACCTGTATTTTAAATTGCTTCCCCCCCCATTATGTTTTTACTCTGATTTTACTGTTGTTAGCCAGGCTCTGGCCGGGGAGGATGGGGTATAAATAAAATTTATTATTATTATTATTATTATTATTAGGAAGAAAACAAAGGCAATTGTGTCCGTTTGCGGGGAGCACTTGGCAAAAATGATGCAAACATTTGTCAACGGGTACCTCAAAGTCAGCACAAGAGTCAGTACTGAATTAGAAGACATTGAATTAAATACAGAATAGCATATTGTAGGGGAAGAAGTGATCTCTCTGGATACTTGTCAGTTTTATCACTGCTCCACAGTTAAAATCCTTGTCTTTTTGTCAAAGAGGGGAGAGCCTTCGGGACCTGACTGCCCATTCTTACCACTTTAAATCTTTGTTTTATTAATGAAATTAAATTTAAAATTCCTTTACTTCTGCACTTTTAACTAACCTGTCCCTCCCTGACGTGAAACGAGATAGGATGGCAACTTTATACTGAACTGTGAAATCAAGGTAACAAGAATGGCTGCAATCCTAACCCCACACTTGTACTTCTCTAACTCAGAGTCACCTTACCAATTGTACAAGACTTTTTTAAGAACAACAAAAAAAATGACAAAATGATATGTCACATGACACAAAGTTGGAGACATAACCTGGGGGCATAAATATACCTGCTGTAGTTCTTCGTAGGTGATGAAGAAGAAGTTGGATCTGTCCTTCATCTCCATCCAGTCTTTCACATGCTCAAACCAGGAACCAAAAGACACTTGAAGAGCAAAGTGGAATGTAAAGAGTTTTTCAGGGGAAAGGTAAGACATAGAGGATGCACCAGTCAGGAACCTAGAAAAGACCTTTATTCTTCACCTGATCAACAAGAACAGTAGCAGGGAACTTCCAACGCCACCCAGATACAACAAGTCCCAATACCAGTTAGTGGCTGAGCTGTTTGATGATTCTATTTACACTGGCAAGATATGTAATACACTGGAGTTGGGGATTCACAGTATCCTCTCCCTACATTTTGCAGCCATTCCAATTCCCCTTTTAATGACATTCGTTACTTTTTTAAAGAAAATGAGATGAGTACTGCGAGACCTTTTCCCATCCTAACCCATTCCCACTTATCTCGCTGGGAATTGTACTTCTCTGATACAACGAAAGGAAATGAGAGGGAAGAGCCTTGATAACATAGTGAACAGTGAGGTAGAACAAATGAGAGAGGCTGATTTCCCTCTTTCCCTACCACTCCCACTCAGGAACTCCTCCATGTACTCTTCCAAAGTTCTAGGGTCCTCCACTGCTTTTAAGCCCTTGTTGAAATGATAGGATGAGATCATCACATCTTTGGGATTACGCATGGTATAGATAACCTGGAAGAGAGGGAGGTGACATATTTAGGGAAGGCAACAGAAGCAGCCCTAACTAGAGACAGACTGAGGCAGCTTAGGTGGGTCTCATGAAAACGAAGCAAAGTCTTTGTAGTTTAATTTACTGTTATTGTTTGTTTATATTAATTAAATTTGTATGCCACCCTATACTCACAGGACAGGTGCTTGTAAGATTTGGTGCTTGATGCTTGTGGTTTTCTGATAAACCTCTTGCAGCATATCATCTTACTCTAGCATGGATTTGGGCAGGAGTTTTCTCACCCCCTTTTTTGGGTTAGATACTTGCCTTTCCTTACCTCTAAGCAACCTGTCCAAAATTTATGTGAATCCTACAGGATTAATAATTTCACAATAACCCCCCCACACCTTTTCACCAGACACAACTCAGTTGGAGACTAACCACCTTTCCCCAAAATTTTGAAAAATGTGGATGACTTCTCAAACAAGATTTTTCCAGGAACGGTGGGAGTTACTTAGGTGGAGGTTAAATGTAAAGTGAGAGGCAAAGTGGAATATTCACCACAACCACAACATCTGGGGTGGGGATATATAAGCCTTCTCTAACTAGCTGTGATCATGACAGAAGTTGCCCACGGTGATTTGGTCGTAGGTGAAGTGTTTGAAAGACTGAACATGTCATGTTGCTTAACAGATTGCCCAGGAGCCAAAAGCAGGGTGGACGTGTCAATTTCTACTCTCTTACCTTGGCCTTGGAGTGCAGGAAGGACTTGGGGAAAATGTGGAAAGGCAGGTGAGATGTCAGGAGCCTGGGTGTAGGAGATTTCAAGGCAACCTGTAGGCCTGGAACACTCTCAATCCAAGGTGACCGTTCCCACACTAGTAAACTCTGAACCCAGGAGGGGTCCCCATCACGCCAGATTAAGCCCAGGATCTCCTGCATCCAATGGCTACCTAGAAGAAAGTCAGGTAGTCTTCCCAGCCACTCTTGATTCTGCAATAAACACATTTATTTTATCTTGTTCCCTCTCCCCTTTCATGTCATTTTGGACTCACAGCTGTCCATGGAGGTACAGGTCAATTCTGTGTCCAGGGCAGCTGTTTACCAGCTTCATCTGGTATGCAGGCTGAGACCCTACCTGCCTGTGGACTGTCTCACCAGAGTGGTGCATGCTCTGGTTATCTCTCGCTTGGACTGCTGCAATGCGCTCTATGTGGGGCTACCTTTGAAGGTGACCCAGAAACTACAACTAATCCAGAATGCTGCAGCTAGACTGGTGACTGGGAGCGGCCGCCGAGACCATATAACACCAGTCTTAAAAGACCTACATTCGCTCCCAGTAAGTTCCCGAGCACAATTCAAAGTGTTGGTGCTGACCTTTAAAGCCCTAAATGGTCTCGATCCAGTATTCCTGAAGGAGAGTCTCCAACCCATCGTTCTACCCGGACAATGAGGTCCAGCGCTGAGGGCCTTCTGGTGGTTCTCTCACTGCGAGAAGCCAAGTTACAGGGAACCAGGCAGAGGGCCTTCTTGGTAGTGGCATCCGCCCTGCGGAACGTCCTCCCACCAGATGTCAACGAGAACAACTACCAGACTTTTAGAAGACATCTGAAGGCAACCCTGTTTAGGGAAGTTTTTAATCTTTGATGGATTACTGTATTTTAGTATTTTGTTGGAAGCCGCCCAGAGTGGCTGGGGAAGCCCAGTCAGGGGCATAAATAATAGATGATGATGATGATGATGATGATGATGATGATGATGATTATTATTATTATTAGGTTCAATAGCACTCGTCTGCCTCTTGCAAAATCAATTAAGAGGGTCATAAAAATTGGAATGAATTTCTGTGACCAGCAAGTTACTCAGCACCCTCCTACACAAGCAGGAATCCAAAAATTCATGACATGGTGAATCAAATTGAACCATTTTGATGACGGTGTAGCAGGTAAGGATGTCAGCAGTGTGACTAATCTATAACAGACATATCACTTAGCTTTCTATATAAAGAAACAACATTCAGAGATGAATATCCTGAAATACAACTGCTTTTGACATGAGCAAATCATTCGAGAAAACAGAAGTAATAAAAATGCTTGTTGCAGCTACAGCCCTGCAATTCCCTTCCCACCAAGCCCACCATGCAGCTGAGCCCCTCGTGCCACACCACACCACAGCAGCATTGGTTTGCCCTCTGACCAAGCCACTTCCTGTCACATAAACTGTGCTAGGTTGGAAGCCAAGCAAATGATCAACTCACTCCTGTAGGAGGAAGACCCCTGGAACTACAGCTGATAAGCTTTATTCCAGTGATCCAGCTATTCCAGTACTGAGGACCCTGACAGGCAACAGATATTCCACAAGAGGCTAAGATTGAGAGCCTAAGATTGAGCCTAAGATTCCTTAACTGACCTTCCATTTGAGGGCAAATGCCGCCTGATTCTGCATTTTGTGATAAGAACTTGGTCTGCTTAGTCAGGAATCCAGAGAGCTTTGTACCTCAGTGGGTGGGACAGGGGGCAGAGGGATGTGGGGAGAGAAAATGGGAGATAAAGGGATTGATTAAAGTTGGCTGTGAAAAAAGAAGTCCAGGGCGAATAGGGGACAGTGCAAACTAAACTGTAGTCCATTACCAGATTACTGGTCAGTTTTGGTTGGGTTATCTGATGGTTTCTGAAATTATCGCAAAAATTTGGGATGAGTTGGGACTCCTCCCCCCTCCCCCCAGCATCATTCTCTTAAGCAAGAGTGTATATTCCTGATTATTTTATAGATCAGCTACAGTAGAAATACAACATATATCGTGCAGGCTATCTGCTTAGGAGTCTGGTGTTTTAAATCACAAGTTTAAGATGCATTTGTGCATGGTGTTGCTGCTGGAATGGAATGATACAAACAGCCTGTAGTCATAACAGGGCCATGATCATTGGTTTTAAATGAAACTATTTTATTTCTAAATTATCAAAAAAAAAAGTGTGCCTTAACATACAAAGCCTGTAGGAGATGTAAAGCATAAAAAGGGATGCAGGGAGAGATTAACTATTTTATTGTTTAACATTTCTAAAATACGACATCATCATCTTTGAAACACCATTTACTTCAGCATTTAAAATTACCTAAGTGCACCACTAACCTGACTTGGGGTAAGTAACATTCACTATATCATCATCCAACATTTGGAATTCATTTTCAACATAGCGGAGTGTTTCCTCTGAGTAGTAGTCCGCTACAGGCAAACTCATTCCCTTGTATGTGAACCAAGGCATGGTTGACACTGAAAAACTGTAAAGATAATACTATTTTTATTATTTATTGAATTTGTAAACCCCCCTTCATCCAAAGATCACAGTGTGGTTCCCAACACAAAAATAAAATCTGAGAATACAAAATGCGCAATAAAGCAGAAACAAAAACAAAGCAATAACCCTCTCCCACAAACACATCATTATTATTCATTAAGATATATCTATCAAGATGTATGAGAGAGTGAGTTTTGATGCCATATCCTTAGGGACCTCCAAATAGTCACTGTTTGGGGGCCGAACTGTGGACATAGTTGTGTCATCAACCACAATGATTCAGATCTCTGGGACACATGGAAACAAACCCTAACAAATTCAGTCATTTGTAGACCTAATAGTGGGTTTTCAAATCCCATGAAATCAACAGGGTAAATTCCTCACACTATTTGCTTGCATAATTTGCTCAAATCATTTACTTCCGTTCAAAAATAAGCCACGATCACATCACTAGGATTGGGACTTCTGTGCATAAACAGAGCAAAACTCGATTCAGACAATAAGGAGTGGGGTGTAGTAAAAGAGCCACAACTGCCCAAAGCAGAACACACTTCCCTCCACACGCACAAGTAAATGCCTGTGAAATTAACTCCTGCACCGTGCTCATGGGATCAAGAATTTAAATGCCTATTTCCCCAAAACCCCAAACGCAGCAAAAATCTGCATTAACTTATGGTCCTGTTACATTCCAAGAGCCTGAGAATTTGCATCAGGACCCCCAGAGAATAAGTGTAAAAAATGAGGGCTTTTATGAACTAAAGAGGTATACATTTGGCTCTATGGGACTTGGAGGTTCTGAGTAACCATAAACCTTTGAAACAACCCCCCTCCTTTTATAGCCCCCAACCCAACTTAGAATTCAGCTTGTACCATACTTACAACCACTGGCTGCTTCTGATCTTTCCTTCTTCTGGTGTCTTCCTTTCCCTTGCTCTGCCAGCAGTATGCCATGCGAGATGAACTTGCTGCTCAGGGTACTGTTTGATACACAGTTTCTGATTCACAACTTTTCATTCTGCTCTGTGAAACATTCCCAGATAATCTTTCGTCTAAGCAAAGCAAACATAAGGGGGGGAACCTAGCCCTTTGGCCGATTGAACATTATATGGCCTTTTAAATGTGTTTGTGGGAGGGGAGGTATTGGTTTGTTTCTGCTTTGTGATGTGTTCTGTGTTCTCTTTTTGTATTTCTGTGCTGTGAAACACACACCGGTGATATACGGATGAAGGGCAATATATAAATGGAATGAAGAATAAAATATAAAGTTGTTACTGGACCAGTGTTGAAGTGTAACTGAGGTGTTAGAAGTGTAACTGTGTTTGACTGTTTTGGATTATGTGTGTTTAACGTCTTTGTTAACTTGTGTTATTTTCCAACTGGGAAGCTATTATTCTGTTGCTTGTTTGTACATGGTGGGGGGTAGACAGGTGTCTTGTTCTTGAAGAGAGGTAGTGTTGTAAAGTTGGGGGGTTCCAGGCCAGCTTCTTGGTAATGGCCCTAAATACAGGTTGTTAGTTTAATAAAAGTTTTCTGCAGGAGGGCAGATGGGAAGACAAAAGCCAGAGTGCGTGAGAGCTAGCTGGGCCAGAAGCAGGCAGGAGCCAGAGAGTGAGAGCCATGCTTGATTTCTGCTTGAATCAAAGGCTGCGTGTGATGGCCTGGGAATCTGATTCAAAGGCTGAACCGGAGGAATCCCAGCCTGCACAGGAGTCCCCGCCTCCAGGGCCGGCTGAGCCGGGGCAGGGCCTTGAATCTGAAGCGCCTGCACCTGTGCCGGTTCCTCAGGAGCAGACACCGGATGAATCCACTCTGGCTCCGGAGGTGGTTGAGGACCCATTGCCTACAGGTGCGCCTCTCCCAGCCCTGTCACATAATTTTCCACAGCACCCCTCCTTGCTTTGCCATAAACCACCACCTCTCCACTTCCACTTGATAAGCAGTCTGGAATACTTTTGCACATGGAATTTCCTACTTGCTTGTTAGATTGGAGGCTGATCTGGCTACAGCACAGTCAGCCTTCTCTTGCAGTTGGCCAGTTCCCACTTGGTGCTCATGATAAAAGAATGTTCCGCAGGTTGTTTGGATATGTTGTAATAAGTTACATGAGCAGATAACAAAAGTCCCTGAATTCTGTGCTCATGCAAGAGGCGGGAGCCTAGATAACACATTTTACAGAAGGGAGTTATTTTCCTGCTGGGCTTAAGGCCTGACTTCATCACTGCTGCTTTGGCATTGTAGCATAGGAGTCAACTCCTAGGGGCCGATGTCACTTCGTGCCCTCAGTAAAATATTTGAGGGGGCCTAAGCCCCCAAAGTTGATAGTCATTACCAATTAAATGGTGCATTTGTGCCGCATCCTGTGATCAATTATGTGGGGAGAGGCTTACCTGCCCCCCCCCAATATTTTATTCAAGTTGGCATTCTTGCACTAAAGTGATATTTTTCTCCCACCGTGAGAAGCCCTTCACCCGGACAAAAGAAAAACATTAGGTGGTTGATTGCTAGGAAGCAAGCCCTACTCAGGGTGATTCAGATTGCTGTGTAAATATCTGTAGGGCTGCATTGTAAAGTGACAGACCTATGTACATTTACTATTGAACTCTGTGGATTTTGCTTCTGAATAAACACACAAGGTAAGAATGAAAGCCTTGGCCTTCAGGGCTGATTGCGGCCCTCCACACCTCTCTTATCTGGCCCTTGGGATTCCTCCAGCCATTCCCCCTTTCCCTAGGCTGCATCTTTCACCATCCCTGAGCTTCCTCTGTGTGCTTCTGCCTGACTGTGAGGTGCTCTTTCACTCTGATAATGCCTCTTGCTTCCCTGGATGGAGAGGTGAATAAAAAAATTACAGGGCAATCCTGTACAGTACAGGGCAACATGCAGAGTTTCTCAATAGAGCTGAGTGGGATGTGCTGGAACAGCAACACAGGTGGGGTGCCCTTAGGGAGGAGGAAGATCATCCGTTGTAAGAGATGAGCCCCTGGAGAAATACGATGCACAGAAGTAGGGCAGTCGGGAGCCATGCTGTGTCGCTGGAGCTGCAAAATTGATTGCATGCTCTCACCCTAGACACCACTTCTGGGCCTGAGGAGCTAGGCAGCAGTTGCTGACCTCAGAACACACCAAAGTGGCTGTGAAAGATACATCACTCTCCAGAAGTGGAAGAGACAGGAAGAGATGGACTTGAAGGAGTGGTTTTCCATCATTGACCTTACTACTTCAGATCCAAGAAAACTAGTCGTACAAGAGTATGCTGATAACCCACTTCCTACCTTCCAAGGAAATGATCAGAGTATCAGCTTTGCTGATAAACTTCAGGGAGCAAAGAGGGACATTTTAATGCATTCCAGTAGGTGTTGAGAGACCAGAAGCTTAATAATAATAATAACAAGGAGGCACAAAAGTAACGATCACAATAAAACCATTCAATTTCTGTTCAAAAATACCAGAACCACTAGAGACATAAAAGCATGAGACAAAATAGCAGGAGGAGTAATTTGACATTCTTCAATCCCATGGAAATGTCATGCGCAGACCCTGCATATTCTCACGATAAACACGGTCAAAGTGTTCATTCTGTGCCACAGTCAGGTGGTTCTTCCAGTCCCCACAGATACCTGGAACAACACAAGAGGCTGTGAAACCACTTGGTAACCACAAAAAAGATCCACTAAAATTACTTCAACTAAAATCAGGACCCCATTTCATCTTGCTCAGGACTTGCCCTTCCACTGGATGAAGCAAGGCAGCTGCCTCAGGTGGCTTTTTTTAGGAATAGCAGGACCTGCTCCCTGGCTGTTCTTCCCAGGCCCTCCCTCAACTGGTGCCCCAGGAGTAGTTATGCTTCCATGTTGATGGCTTAGACTTACTTAGCTGCATTTTCCTAAAGCTTCACAAGTAAGAATGGGCAAATCTGTCAATTTTAGTTTTTCTCCTTTTCTCTCTTTTTTCAAATCTTAAATAACTGATGTTTCGCATGTAAGATTCACCTTCTGTTGTGTGGGCAGGGCGGTCTCTCCCCTTACCTGGCCAACCCCCTGGCAACGCCTCCTCAGGCGGGGTTGGGCGATTGGCTGAGGTAGGCGGAGACCTCCAGGTATCCAGCCTTGGGAGGGTGAAGCCAGCCTACATTATGTTAGCAGTTTCATTTTTGCACTGATCAGTTGTGCAGAAAATAGCACACAAATTTCAGAGAAGTGTGAATTTCAAAGAACTGTTGAGTTTCAGTACAGGAAAGTGTGAGATGAGTAGGCTTACTCAATGTGAACTGAATCAAATTTCTTCCCCACCACTACTCTCTCTCTCTCTCTCTCTCTCTCTCTCTCTCTCTCTCTCTTACACACAGACACACACACACACTTTTCATAGGTTGCACAAGCCACGGCCTTTGTTTATCACAGGGTATTTTGTTACCTTTCCTCATGAGCTTTCCTTTTGTGTGATCAAAATAGGTATCTGGAAATTGAGTAAAGTTGGACATGTTGTTGTCCTTCATCTTGTGGAAGGAGGCATTTTCCACCACAGAGTCGATTTGCTGACTGTTCAGCTCTTTACCAATAAAATGACAAATCCTCTTCACACTTCCTAGTAAGTCCTGCAGAAGGAAAAAGCAAATGACTGAATTCTCATATTGACACTGCCACAGGGAGATCTGCCCTTTGAGAAAGAAGAATACAGAGGCCATTCTTGCAGGGAGCATTTAGCAAGAATGATTCAAGGCTACCTCAAATTCGGTACAGGACCCAGGGAATACTGGAGACAGCTCTGAATTCGAAGATGTTGAATTAAGTACAGAACAGCAGATTGTAGGCTACACCTGGTCTGTTGTAGAACAAAGGAATGCCACCGCGCATGTAATATCAGGCTCTTTGGCCTTAAGTCATTTTTATTTTATTTTAAATATATTGGAGAAGAAGAAAGAAACTCTGAACTCAAAATAGAAATGTTGGAGAAATCAATTGAAAATGGACTATCAAACTGTTTCATTCCATCTGCTCATTCAAACCCCCTCTGTAGCACAGACTTGCTGTGAGCACTATTCACCTTAAAGGTAAAGGTAAAGGTACCCCTGCCCGTACGGGCCAGTCTTGACAGACTCTAGGGTTGTGCGCTCATCTCACTCTAGAGGCCGGGGGCCAGCGCTGTCTGGAGACACTTCCGGGTCACGCGGCCAGCGTGACGACGCTGCTCCGGCGAACCGGCACCTGAGCAGCACACGGAAACGCCGTTTACCTTCCCGCTATAAAGCGGTACCTATTTATCTACTTGCACTTAAGGGTGCTTTCGAACTGCTAGGTGGGCAGAAGCTGGGACCGAACGAAGGGAGCTCACCCCGCCGCGGGGATTCGAACCGCCGACCATACGATCGGCAAGTCCTAGGCGCTGAGGATTTACCCACAGCGCCACCCGCGTCCCTTAGTTCTCTGCAAAGGACACTTTCCTTTTTTAACACACATACTTTGTATATAAATAGATACATAAATTTCTTTGAAGTATGTTGCTAATATATTAACTGATGCATAAAGGTGCCTCTTCGGAAGTGTTATTATGTGTTTAAAGGATTATGCTGCAATCCTAACCATGTCTACTCAGAAGTAAATCCCACAGAATTCAGAGATACTCATCCACAGGTATATGGTTTTAGGGGGCAGATTAAGGATGAAACCCTATCGTGATTTTTTTCCCTATAACATTTTAAAGACCAAAGGAACACATCAATCATTATTGTTCTTTTCACGAGGAAATAAATAATCTCTTCTGAAAATTGCTCGTGTTATCACTGCTCCACAGGTTGTTTTTTTAAGAGTGGAGAACCATTTGGATTTGACTGCCCGTTCTTACCACCTTAAATGTTTCTTTCAATAGTGAAATTAAATTTAAAAATCTTTTACATACCCACCACCCCCCAAGTTTTCTGCACTTACAGCATAACTAAACTGCCTCTCCTGACGTGAGAGAAACAAGACAGGATAGAAACTTTATAATGAATTGTGAAATCAAGGTAGCAAGAATTGCTTCAATCCTAATTCCACTTACCTGGTCGTGAGCCCCACTGAATTCAATAGGACTTACTTCTGAAAGGGCATGTTTAGGTTTGCAGTGACAGGTGGATTTGTGATGGGCCATTAGTCACACCATGAGCTTTGTCTCTAAGGTGTCCCAAGGCTCTTAGCTAAGAGGGCTACCTGTTTCATTAATTTTGAAAGGGAACATGCAGGGAAGATGAACTGATTTGTAAATATCTGTAGACAGCTGCGATGGTAGTGTGTGTTAAAAATGCATATATTTCTGAATCAGCAAACAATGAAACAGAGCATAGACTTATGCAGAACCAAGCAACTGCAACTGGACAGAAAGCACCAGATAAAGGTGAGAATTACTTGGGAATTTGTACCTCTCTAACTCAGAATCACCTTGCCAATTGTGGAAGACTTTTTCAGAACAAAAAATAAAATAAAATGGCAAAATAATATGTCACATGACATAAAGTTGGAGACACAACCTGGAAGTGTGAATATTGTCAAGGTTGGGCCAATACCTGCTGTAGTTCTTCATAGGTGATGATGAAGAAGTTGGATTTGTCCTTCATCTCCATCCAGCTTTTCACATGCTCAAACCAGGAACCATAAGACACTTGAAGAGCAAAGTGTAAAGAGCAAAGTAAACAGTTTCAGAGGCGAGAGGAAAGACATAAAGGATACACCAGTCAGGAACCTACAAAAGGCCTTTATTCACCCAATCGGGTAAAAGGTAGGTAACAGTTAAGTCCAGTCAAAGGCAACTATGGGGTGTGGCACTTATCTTGCTTCAGGCTGAGGGAGCTGGCGTTTGTCCACGGACAGCTTTCTGGGTCATGCAGCTAGCATGACTAAACCACTTCTGGTGTAACAGGACACCATAACAGAAGCCAGAGTACACGGAAACACCGTTTACCTTCCCACCACAGTGGCACCTATTTACAGAAGCAGGGAACTTTCAATAACACCCAGATACAACTAAGCCTAGTACCACCTAGCGACTGGGTTGTCTAATGATTCTATTTACATAGACAAGAGATCTAATATTGTATACGACACTAGAGCCAGGGATTCATAATATCCTCTCCCTACATTTTGCAGCCATTCCAATTCCCCTTTTAATGACATTCATTACTTTTTAAAAGAAAATGAGGTGAGTACTGAGAGACCTTTTCCCATCCTACCCCCTCCCCACCTATCTCACTGGAAATTGTACTTCTCTGATACAATGAAAGGAAATGAGAGGAAAGGGCAGGAAAGAGCCTTGATAACATAGTGAACAGTGAGGTAGAACAAATGAGAGAGGCTGATTTCCCTCTTTCCCTACCACTCCCACTCAGGAACTCCTCCATGTACTCTTCCAAAGTTCCAGGGTCCTCCACTATTTTTAAGCCCTTGCTGAAATGATAGTATGAGATCATCACATCTTTGGGATTACGCACGGTATAGATAACCTGGAAGAGAGGGAGGGGACATATTTAGGGAAGGCAACAGAAGCAGCCCTAACTAGAGACAGACCAAGGCAGCTTAGGTGGGTCTCATGAAAAGGAAGCAAAGTCTTTGTTGTTTAATTTACTGTTGTTTTATTTGTTTCTTTCTTTGTTTATTAAATTTGTATACCATCCTTATACCCCCAGAAGCTAGTAGGAATTAGTGTTTGGTAATGTGTGTTTTCTGCCACACCTGAGGCAGCAAATTGTCTTCCTCCATCCTTGATTTGGGCAGGGGTTATCTTCCCACCCTTTTTGGGTTAGATACTTGTCTTGACTAGGGCCATAGGTGGAGTGTTTGAAACACTGAGCAGGTCATTCTGCCTAACAGAGCCAAAAGAAGGTTTGATGTGTCAATTGTTCCTCTATTACCTTGGACTTGGAGTGCAGGAAGGACTTGGGGAAAATGTGGAATGGCAGGTGAGATCCCAGGAGCCTGGGTGCAGGATATTTCAAGGCAAGCTGTAGGCCCGGAATACTGTCAATCCAAGCTATCCGTTCCCACGCTGGTAAACTCTGAACCCAGGAGGGGTCCCCATCACGCCAAATTAAGCCCAGGATCTCCTGCATCCAATGGGTACCTAGAGGAATATTAGGTAGTCTTCTCAACCCCTCTTGATTCTGCAATAAACACATTTCCTTTATCTTGTTCCATCTCCCCTTCCATGGCTCAATAGAACCAGTATGCCCCATGCAAAATCAATTGAAAGGATCAGAAAAAATTGGAATGATTTTTTGTGAACAGCAAGTTACTCAGCACCCTCCTACGCAGCAAGATTCCAAAAATTCATGTCTAGTTTAACATGGTGAACCAAACTGAATGAACTATTTTGATGAGGGTGTAGCCAGTGAGGATATTAGCAGTGTGACTAATCTATAGCAGACATATTACTTAGCTTTCTATATACAGTCAGCATTCATGGATGACTTGTTGCTCACACCTGCAGGAGGCACATCTCTAGAATCTTCCTGTTAAAATATAGCAGAACAGCTTTATACTTGGGCAAACATGTGATCCAGCTATTCCAGTATTGAAGAACAGATATTCCGCAAGAGGGCATAATTAAGCCTCAGATTCTTTAGGTGGCCCTCAATTTAAAGGAGAATACCACCTGATTTTGCTGCATTCAGTGATAAGAACATTGTCTGCTTAATCAGGAATCCAAAACAGCTTTATACTGAGGGGGGTGCGGGGGGATGAGGTGAGAGAAAATGGGAAACGAAATTATTGATTAAAGTTAGCTGTAGAAGTTTTGGATGGACTATCTGAAATTCTTGGACCTGTTTTCCTTAAGCATCTTTCTCTTAAGCAAGAGTGTATCTTCCTGATCTTTTTATAGGTCAGCTATACCTTAATTGTTGAGGTACCTCCGAGTAAGGAGGTTTAGCATGGTGGTGTTAATAGAGTCCCCATTTCCAAGGGCTGTGTATCTAGAAAAACAAAAATCTATGATGCAAGCCACCCGCTTAGCTTTCCAGTGTTTTGAATCACGAGTTTAAGATGCATTTGTCAGTTGCATGGCGCTCCTGGTAGAGTGGAATGTTACACACAGCCTTTAGACATGACAGAACCATAATAATTGGCTTTAAGTGAAACTTTAATTTCTTGATCCGACTTGTCAAAAAGAAAAAGAAAAAGGTGTGTCTTAACATACAAAGACCGTAGGAGATATGAAGCATCAAAAATGGATGCAGGGAGAGATTAGCTATTTTATTGTTTAATGTTTCTGAAATAGGACATCATAATCTTTGAAACACCGTTTACTCCAAGTTTAAAATTACCTAAGTGCACCACTAACCTGACTTGGGGTAAGTGACACTCACTATATCATCATCCAACATTTGGAATTCATTTTCAACATAGCGGAGCGTTTCCTCTGAGTAGTAGTCCACTACAGGTAAACTGATTCCCTTGTATGTGAAAGAAGTCATTGATGACACTGAAAAACTGTAAAGATGTTATCATCACCATCACCATCATTAATTAAATTTGTATACAGCCAAAGATAACAGTGTGGTTCGCCGCACAAAAATACAAAATACACAATAAAGCAAAAACAAAGCAGTAACCCCCTCTCACAAACACATTATTATTACTCATTAGAACATATTTATCAAGATATATGAGAGAGTGAGTTTTGATACCACATCCTTTGGGACCTTCAAGTAGGACCCCTCACCCATCGCATTGGGCAGCGTTGTGGCTGAGCACCTGGGCCCTTGCAATGACCCGGCTCGTGGGCATAGGATTAAGACCCCCTTCTGCGCCTGCCCCAGCTGCGTCACCCCTGCTCGGTCAATCTATGCCGGTGGGGGACGTGACCGCAGGTGTTTTAAACTGCTTCGCGGCCAGGGGCTTTCTTCTCTCGCCTCCTCGCCAGGTCTCCCAACCCACCCACTCTCTTTTCAAACTTTTGTATGCATGACCTTGCTATGGATAAATGTTGGCCGCCATTTTGTTGGGACCGGGTAGGAATATTTCCACTTGTAATTGCTTGTAAATACACATGTAATTGCTTGTGGACTAACTCTCACACTATGGCTATGGAATCAGAGTTTAAATGGCTATTTCCCCAAAGCCACAAACACAGCAAAAATATGCATTAACTTATGGTCCTGTTACATTCCAAGAGCCTGAGAATTTGCATCAGGACCCCCCAAAGAATAAGTGTAAAACATGAGGGCTTTTATGAACCAAAGAGTTCTATGGGACTTGGAGGTTCTGAGTAACAATAAATAAACCTTTGAAACAACCCCCCTCCTTTTATAGCCCCCAACCCACCTTAGAATTCAGCCTGTACCATACTTACAACCACTGGCTGCTTCTGGTCTTTCCTTCTTCTGGTCTCTTCCTTTCCCTTGTTCTGCCAGCAGTATGGCAAGGTGAGACAAAGAATGTTCACAATGCCCTTTGACGCTCAGTTAATGATTTACAGCATTTTATTCTTCTCTGTGGCTGAAAACATACCAGAGGAAGCTTACATTGGAACAAAGGCAACAGACCCTATCTAACAGACACAACTCCAAAGGAAAAGGGAATGGACAGGGAGGAGGAAGAAACAAAACTCAAGTGCCAGTTCAAGAGCAAAATGAGGCACTGGAGTGTCCCATCTCTCCCTCTGCCGCAGCCAATTATAGAATTTATTTGATTTAGCATTTAATTTTAAATCCGTGCATGTTCCATTCTGGAAATCAGACAGAGGGGAATCAGGTAATCGTTCTTTAAGGAAAGAAAAGGGAGCCTAACAGAAGGAAGCAGGAATTGTCTTCCTAGGTATACACGGAGTTTTCTTGAGGACTTTGCCATCTCACACAGGAAACCTCTACAGAAAGCCCAGAAGAACAAACTAGGACTGACAATTACAAAGAACACCCCCCCGCCCCCTAAAGGTGGTTTTCATACATTGCATCATGACACGTAATCTGAGAGGTTGTTTGCAGACAATGCAGCCTTGGCAGCACATTCAGGGAAGCTCCACAGAAACTCATCAACCGTTTTGTCCAAGCCTGCATGAAGTCCGGCCTTGTCATCAGCCTGACGGAGACCAACACCTTGGGTCGGGATGTCGCCAGCACTCCATGCATCTGCATTGGTGGCTACACGCTTGAGGCGGTAGACCATTTTGTCCACCTAGATTCCACCATAACCAGAAATCTCTCCATTGTTACTGAGCCAGACAAGCCTAATGGCAGCTCTGGCAACGGCTCACTTCTCCAAAAGGGTTTGGGAGAGAGAATGTGCGGCTAACCTCCAATACCAAGATGAAGATCAGGAGGATTTTGGGTACCAAATGGCAGGACAGAATTCCAAACAAAGATGTGCTCTCCCAAGCCCACATTCACGGCGTGTTTGCACTTTCTGTCTCAGTGATGTCTACGCTGGCTTGGTCGTGTGTCCCACAGAAGGGAAGATGGCAGGATCTCTATTGCCAGAGAAAGAAAGTTATCTAATGCTGTCTCTTCTCCAGTGTTCAAGGAGCTGCAGCCATTACAGTCAAGCCGTTCACGCACGAAACAAAATGGAGAATGCATTAAGATACCTCCTATGTGACCAGAGTTAACCGAACGCATGAGAGTTACTGGGGAACATTCCAGAATTAAACACATAGCAATGCATTTAAGCATTTCCAGTTTCAGTCAGGTAAAATCATTGTATTTGACACTGCTCCCCTGTACACCTGCTCCTCTCTGGCCTCCTTTCTCCCACCCAGCCACTGCCTTCAGCATGCCAGGGCATCTTCAGGCTGCCTCCAGTCACCTCAGGCAGTGATGGAGGAGGAAGCAGCTGCAGGGGGTGCGGAGGAGGCAGCAGCAGGGAAGCCATTTTGTTTTGCCTCAAGTAGCAAAATGCTCCGTGGCACCCTATGCACACAACCCACTATCCCAACCGTCAGTTATCATGCTACGAAACAGTGCGCAATATTTCAACTTCTTCCCATACTGAAGAATTGCGACCATCAGAAACTTGTCCCTTAATTATTTCTGGGGAGCAAATGGGGGGAGGGGGGTGAAATTGTATTGCTGCACATGCTCAGTAGAGAGTTGAAGCCTGCGTCATCTGCCATTAAGGGCAGTAAACTTGCTGTGGAAAAAGAGGAGGTGGGACTTTGCGGCCTTCCTCCTATAAAGCTCCGAAGCCTTTCAGACCAGGTAAGTAGACATAGGTTTTCTTGCAGAATTTGAAAGCATTTAGGAAGTGCTCCCCCTCAAGATATCCATTCCTCATCTGTTTATGGTATTCTGTTTGCTTATAGAGGGCCTGTAAATTTCATTCCCCTCGGTGAGCAGTTGGCGCCAGCAGCCATTCTGAGGGCTAACCATAGATAGCATCAAACTAAGAGATGTTAATGTGTCCACTGTAACTCCCCACCCACCCGTCAAAAAAAAGAAAACAGCCCAATGAATTTAGTGAACGCTGATTGGAAATGGTTGTGGCAGAAAGCTTTCCTCGGTTGTTGTTCTTATTAAACATTTTATAGCTGGGGGAGGCCGGCTGCGTATTAATCTGTGCGGTTACAGAGGAGTATGTTACTGTTTTTATTTTTATTTTATAAAATGTTTATTAGGATTTTACAATAAACATAGGTTTAACAAACTAAAAAGAAAACATAGACAGAAAAAGAAAAAAGATAACAAGAAAAATACAAAAATTACCAAAAAAAAGACCTAGAAGAAAAAAAAAAGAAAATACAAAATACAAAAAACAGATGGCTAAAAAACAAAACAAAAAAATTAAAGAAAAATTCATTTTTCAATATCTTTAGGCTCATTTACTTATTTCCTTGACCTCCTCACACCTCCCCTTTTTGTATTCCCGTTTACAAAATCCTTTCAGCAAATCCTTACCCTCTTTCATTTATCTTTACTCTGTGTCTTAACCTATTATAACTATATATTTTCGTCCATATGACTATCTATATTTGCATATTCTTATTAACCTTATTACCAAAACCACTTATTTTCAATCCAACATCATTTTAACATTCATTAATTTTACAGTATTTCTGCAAATAGTCTTTAAATTTCTTCCAATCTTCTTCCACCAACTCTTCTCCCTGGTCTCGGATTCTGCCAGTCATTTTTACTTCATTTTTCTACTACTACACACACACAAAATGTTCTTATTCTAATCAAATGTGTTTAGCATCAGGACAGCGGAAGCAAATTCTGTTTAATTACTGTAGTCAAGTTGGTGCTATGCTTTAAGTGAGTCTAAAATATAAACCTGGGCTCAGGGGATTCTTCTTTTTTAAAAAAAATAAAAATAAAAAGTGTGGATTTTCTTAATTTTAAAAAGTGTTATTTTATTTTATTTTTAAAGTGTTTTGGTGTTTATATCAGAGTTAGCAATGTTTTGGTGTTTATCTGTTTAGCTTTTTGCTGTAAAATATCCGGAATGTAGAAACAGCTGTAAAACATGAAAGAGCAGGTGGGAACTTTATAAGTAAACCCCAAATCACTACAGTCATACCTCAGGTTGTGAACATGATCCGTGAGGGAGGCACATTCGCAACCCGCAGCATTCGCAGCCTGAAGCACCACATATGTGCATGCACGTGACGCGATTTGGCGCTTCTGCGCATGCACGTGATGTCATTTTGCACTTCTGCGCATGCGCGAGCACCAAAACCCGGAAGTAACCCATTCCAGTACTTCCAGGTTCGGTGCAGTCCGCAACCCGAAAACGTGCAACCCGCAGTGTTCGTAACCCGAGGTATGACTCTATTGCTTTCAGTTTGCAGTTAGGCCCTAATGGAACTGTGGTGCCACCCACACCTGCCATGCAGTTGCCAGAGCCTACTATGCAAAATTTCTCGCCACCTGTCAGGACTAGATGGCAGGAATCTCACTCCCACCCAGCTGCAGAGGCATTGTGACTCCTCAGCATGGCTACACCTGAAGTTCCTTCACCTTCAACCCTTTCTGTGCTGGGAAAGAGAAGCAGAGTGGGGTGTTGAGGGAATGGTGTGGGAGAAGGAAAGCAGGGCCAGGAGCTGTGGAGAGGTAAAGTGATGAAAGGTGTAGTTCTGGCAGTCTCTCATTGCACCTCAGTTAGAGGAGCAGACACAGGTACTGTATTTTTCCGTGTATTAGACGAGGTTTTTTTCTACCGTAAAACATAGTTCAAAATCTGGGGTCATCTTATACATAGGTAGTGCAGAGGGGGGGACGTGGGATTGGTTGCTGGCGGTAGCTGGAGATTGTCGGTGGCTATTGGTCATGTTATTTTTGGCTGTGGAAGGGCTGGTTTGATTTGGCGTTGCTGTATTTGTGCAGGTGATTTGCTGATTCTGCCGGCAAGAGAACAGCTGATAGGCGGCTTGTTAGACACGCGCAACTGGCAGCATTGGTCCAGCGGTTGAGCAATTTTCGTTAACAATTTCCCCTAAAAAAAGCTCAACCGCTCTGCCCCCCATCCAAAAACCTCAAGAAATCAGGGCAATCTCCCCCCCCCCCCATTTTCTCAATTTGGTGTCCCCCAAAATAGGGGATGTCCTATACACAGGGGCATCCAATACACAGAAAAATAGGGTACATGTTTCTGTTAAAGTTCAGCAGACAGACTTCTGCAAAAGGAATTGCAACTTTCTTGAAGTCTTGGCTGTCGGAATAAGTAATCCTGCAGCTTTATTATTAGTATTTTACATTTCACAAACGTAGGTAAAATAAAACAAAACTTGAAAATCAACTCCTGTTTCGAATTATAATTTCTCAGTGATGTGCTCCTATATAAAGTTACCTGTGAGTAACTCCTGATGAACTCCGTGGAACTTACGTACTTCTGAGGGGGGGGATAAAATCTAGTTCACATTCAAAGGTGAACCTACCTAATCCACACTTTCCAAAACAATATGCAAACTTAAATAAAGCACTTCTTCAAAATTCAGCGTTCGTCAACTTTTGCAATGAAGTTCTCCGGTGACGTAATGTATACAAAAATGCATATACTTGGGTAAACTGTGCATGAAATAACTTACACTACTGTTTTTTGTTCAGTAATTTTATTTGCAAAAATGTGTATATTAAGGGAACTTGCATACAAATATGTATAGTAGAAATTTTAAACATAATGCTTATGAATTTGCATGAGGACTTAAAAAAAATTACGAACGGATTTGTGATAGATCAAAAACTGAATTTAAGATTGGGGAAATGAGGAACTGACAACAGATTCACACATCCCTAAGTATAGGATTGCATGGTAAAACTGCCATTCTAAACACACTTAAAATCCAGATAAATGGGGCTAGGATTCCACACTTCCCAAGGAATATATCCCACTGAAAACAGTGGGAGTTACTTCTTACATGTCGGACTTCCTCATATGTTTCTTGTTCCTTCTGTAAGTCATCCCCTCAGTGTTCTTGCTTCATGCAGTCATAGCTCATCGCTCTTGACAGAGGCAGGAGCTCACCCTTGGCTTATTTGCCTTAGGATCTCATCAGTGACACCCAGGGGAAGTTAGGGGTTGGTTTCCATATCATAATGTGACTTTTGTTTCTGGTGAAGCTGTTAGGGTTCCAACGGGTTGCTCGAGAGTAAGCAGGCAAATTTCTCCCTGCTCAGCTGTGAAGCCTTGCTTTTGATACCAAAATAAACTTTATCTATCCAGAGCACCACTCTCCTGTGGCTGGCTCATTCACTGGCAGAATCCGTGAGTGGGCGGTCCTTAAACCTTCCCCAGCAAAGTAGTTTCTTGACGCCCAGTCTGCGCCTCCCCTCTCAGCACAAAAGCTTACTGCGCAAGGAGGGTGTGGGTAACGGAGGACCTCTACCCTCCCCGCTTTGCCCAGGCAAGGTGTCCTGGCACCGCCTCGCCTCCTCCAAGCCCTGAAACTCCTCTCCACTGGAGGCGTGGTTACTCTCCTCCGCTGAGGAGGAGCTGCTTCCCACGATCTATGGGGGCTCTCTGTAATCCATCTGGCTTTTCCCCTCTCCCCCCTTAGCTGATGGCAGTTCCCTGACAGAAGCCATGTATCAACCTCTGGTAGTTTCACTGGAGATAATGTACATGCAGGTTTTGCTAGCCCAGCATTCGTTGTAAGAAAGTTCACTTACCCAAAGACAAGGAATTAGTACCCACTATATTCACCACAGATTCAGATATCCAAACCCGTGCGTAGCATGGTAAAGAAATAAGCAGCCTTCGACAAGCCTTACTTTTTGTGTTTTGCTGGTCTGTGGCAGCTGTTTTACCAGAAACCATGGTGGGAGGGAAGGTTAGAAATCAGACAAATAAAAGGTCATTTTTTCCTTCCTTATTTGCCTTTTGAATGGATTTTCTCCCCCCCCCCCCCCGTCATTTTGGGATAAAATACTGCAGTTGGGAATGCGTTACAAATCTCCCCATAGGAATAAATGGAAATTGTCAACTTGTTACGTGAACGCTTGCCTAACAATTTCTTGAGAACACCCGGCAGTTGGATAGCAAGACCTGGAAGTACTGTACTCATAGCAAGTCTATTACACAAAATGCATCCCATCAGCAACTGGACAGGAGTGAAGACTGGTGTGTTCTAGAGGTTTGAGAGGACCAGGTGGGGATCTGCACCATCTTGCAGTGCCCTTTTCACCCCCACCCTCACCCACCCCCACCCCCGCATCTTGCATTAAGCTAGGCCATTAGATGGAGTACAGGGTTGGGATTGTGTGAGTCATTATGGTGCCCCATTCTCTGGCAAACTGATGCACGCTGTTACTTGCAAAAAGGAACATGGCCAGGAACAATCTCCCTGGGGATTGGGTGAAACCTGCTTTCAGCTTTGCCGTTACAGTGGAGACAGCATGTGTTAAAAGAAAACACACCTGTAAAAAAAATAAAGAACAACTATTCCATTCCTGATTCCATTCCTGACCTGTTTATTTAGCAGAAGGTACCCAAACCATATTACACATTAGAATGTGAGGGTGGAGAACAGAGGAGCAACTATCTGGGATTCTTCAGTCCCAAGGGAAGGTCATATTCACACCACGCATGTTCTCCTGATAAACACGGTCAAAGTATTCCCTCTGTGCTACTGTCAGGCAATTCTTCCAGTCCCCAGAAATCCCTGGAACAACACAAGAGCAAGTGGCAACCGCAAAGAAGTACAACTGAGATTACTTCATTTCTTCCTCAGTCTCAGTCATGAGGCAGCCTCCTCAGGTGGCTGATGTTAGGGGAAAGCACATGCCTCCCGACTGTTTGCCCTGATCCCCTGCAACTATTCCACCTTCCTGATTTGGAACTCCAGCCGCACTAATGCAGGCATGTTGGGGACCTGGAACAGCTGGTTGTCTCCTCCAGCTACCTTTTCCTGTTGAATCACAGAGAGTTCCATGAGGAAAGGCAGCTGACTGAGTAGGCAGTCTCATACACTCATGAATGGTGTTCTCTCAGTGTCTGGCCCTAAAAGCCTGTTGCCCACAAGTAAAATGGAAGACACTGTTGCTTTGCTATTTAGAAGTAAGATGCAGCAGCGACTCCCATCAGCATCTGGATGTGGAATGAAGAATTGTGACTTTCTCCATCACATCAGGCAGGAAAACGCAGTGAGTCATGTTTGCTCTCCCACACTGCCACTCCTTGGCAAACAAACATGACAATTGCTGTGCTATTCCTACCTCCCACCCATTTTAACCACTTTGACGATTTTTTCTATAATTCAGTGTTACATAAATTTTATGAAATAAATAATAAATGATGATGATGTGCAAAACAGTTCAGTTTAAGTTACTTCTGTCGCTTTTGAGAAGGGGAACAGACTCTGTGGCCATGAAAACTAGGACTCAGGGAAGTATGCATTTAGATATGGGGGAAAGCCACTTCCGAGCTAGGGAGGAGGTGGGGTTGCGGGAGGTGGGGATACCAGGGGAATCCTTGGACACGTCATCCCCGAGCCAGCCAATTGGCTGGCCAGGGGGGCGTGGCCTAGCCGCATTTAGGTCTGGGGGAAGCTTTACCTGCTGAATTTATGCTTGCTTTCCAAATAGATGCTAAGGGCACAGAATCTGCCAACTCTAGCATAAACAACCCCAAGGCGACTACTGTGTCTTGATGGCCTGGAGATTATGTGCCCCTCAGCCTGTTTTCAGGCAGACCCCAGTATCAGCCAGCAGTTAAAATCTTGCAGGCACACCTTGTTCTCAGAATAATTTCTTGCTTTGATTTGTATGTTGATGCATTAAAGAAAAACATAAGGTAAGATGTTGCTCAAAGAAAAAGGTGTGCAATTCTGCCAACTGTCCCCATTTTGGCTCTGGCTCCACCACTTGCTGTATTTGCTGATTGACTTTTTCTGTGAGTCAACAGCCATCCACAGAAAAAGAAAAGGTTCTTCACCCCTGGCATGCAGCATTACGACCTTATTCCTTGGCGCTGTATGGCAACCAAAGTTATTACCTTTCCTCAGGAGCTTTCCCTTTGTGTGGTCAAAAATGTCGTCTGGTATCAAGGAAAAGTTGGACATCTTATTGTCCTTCATCTTGTGGAAGGAGGCGTTTTCCACCACAGACTCAATTTGCTGGCTGTTCAGCTCCTTGCCAAGAAAACGACAGATCCTCTGCACGCTGCCTCAAAGGTCCTGCAGAAGGGAAAAATAAAGGAATTATAGGAAGCCTTAGAGCCTTATATGATGTACAGAGCTTGCCCTTGATCAAGTGGCACACAAAAGGCATTCATTCCAGTTTGCAGTGCACATTTGGCAAGGTTGATACCATGAGGGTGTGGAATTTGCTGCTATCACTGTGCAGAAGCCATCCTGTCTCAGGCTGCCAATACAATATTTCAAAACAAAATAATCTGGTAGTGTGTGGACACAGTCAAGCTTTGACCTGTACCTGCTGCAGTTCTTCATAAGTGATGAAGAAGATGTTGGCTCTATCCTTCATCTCCATCCAGGCTTTCACGTGGTCAAACCAGGAACCAAAAAGTACTGGAGAAGCAAAGAGGAAGCAGTGGTGAGATGAAAAGAGGTGCCAGGGAAATGGAAAGAATGCTATTGAAGATGTAGAGGAAACACCAACGTGGAACCTAAAAAATAACATGTTGCTTCCATTCTAACCCATTTGTTAAGGGCATTTATTAATTTTCTTTAAAAAGAAATGACTCTCGTAAGACTTAAACCAGTTTCTCCATGTAGCCAACTACAAATTATACTTCTCTGATAAGGCTATAGGATTAGCTAAGAAGAGAGCCTTTCTGGTAGTGGACATTGTGCTGGATCAGAGCAGATGAGACTGGCTGATGTGCCTCCTTCCATACCTTCCCCACTCAGGAACCTCTCCAGGTACACGTCCATTGTTCCAGAATCCTTCAGATCTTTAAAGCCTTGGAAGAAGTGGTAGCCTGAAACCATCGCATCTCTGGGGTTACGCATTGTGTAGACTACCTGTAAAAGAGGCAGAGCCACATTTAGGGAGAGCCCGGGAAGCACTAACATTAGGAATAGTGGGACAGCCACCATAGGCACCTGAGCACTGTCTCCTGAAAGGCATGTTTAATTTACTGTTGTTACATGTATCCCCAAAGATGTGCTCTACGGGGAGCTGGAAGGAACTTTGCATTAGGGTCAGGAAGAAGGGTCTGGTACTGGAGTGCAGGTGCATGTCTGGTGCCCTAGAAAAATTATGCAAAAGACTGAACAAATCATGTTGCTTAACAGGTCCAGGAACCTAGGCTGGGGCTTTCTCAGGGGCCTCAAACTCTTCTTCAGTGAGGTTTTCTAAGCATATGGGTTATCATGGCAAAGGACCATGCATGTGGGCCATGACCAATTCAAGTTCTCCTGCAATCATGCAACTGCTAAGGAGATATCCAGTATTCCTCCCAATGCTGTAGTGCAAAATATGGCATCCTCTGGTAAATGGGCTGTGTCAAGCGTCTGTGCTCCAGAGTCCCCCCACATCTGTGTGGCAGAAAGGCATCAGTCAAAGGCAGGCTTGCTGTGTCAACTGTTCCTCTTTTACCTTGGCTTTGGAGTGGAGGAAGGACTTGGGGAAAAGCTGGAATGGCAGGTGAGTAGACAGGAGCCTGGGGGGAGGATATTTCAAGGCCTCCTTCAGCCCATCAGCAGTCTCGATCCAGGGTGCCCTATCCCACACTAGTGCGTTCTGAACCCATGAGGGGTCCCCATGACTCCGGATTAAGGCCAACACTTCTGACATCCAGTGGGTACCTAGGAGGAAGTTCACGAGTCAGTCTTTTTCCATAAATCCACTTGGGTTTGCAGTGCACACCTTTCAATGATCTGGTTCCCTGTTTTCTTCCTCTGCCCACTAGTGAATGCCTGGTCCTCATGAAACCAATTACTGGATTATAAAAATTGGTACTACACTCAATATGCCAGCAAGTTTGGAAAACTCAGCAGTGGCCAAAGGATTGGGGAAGATCAGTCTACATCCCAATCCCAAAGAAGGGCCAAAGAATGCTCCAACTACCGCACAATTGCTCTCATTTCACACACTAGCAAGGTTATGCTCAAAATTCTACAAGGCAGGCTTAAGCAGTATGTGGACCGAGAACTCCCAGAAGTACAAGCTGGATTTCGAAGGGGCAGAGGAACCAGGGACCAAATCGCAAACATGCGGTGGATTATGAAGAATGCCAGAGAGTTCCAGAAAAGCATCTACTTCTGCTTAATTGACTACCCAAAAGCCTTTGACTGTGTGGATCACAGCAAACTATGGGGGGTTCCTAAAGAAATGGAGTGCCAGAACACCTTATCTGACTCCTGAGAAATCTCTATGTGGGACAAGAAGCTACAGTTAGAACTGGATATGGAACAACTGATTGGTTCAAAATTGGAAATGGAGGGACTTCCGGGGTGGCGCCATCGGTAATGGCGGACTCCCTCTGATCCGGAGGGACTGGCTCCACGGAAATCGGGTCTGTCCCGCTACGGCGAAGCGGGGACCCTTTGAAAAATCACAGGCGGATGAAGCCTGTGACCATGGGACTCGGCGGGCACCTTTCGCGCGCCCCCAACTCGTAAAGGAACCCAGTTACGGGCTCCGGAGCGAAGAGGGGCAAGTGGCGCGGTGCTGAGAGTCAACTGCTTCTTCCGTGGAGTGAAGCCACATAGCCGTTGCCGGAGAGCGCTGCCTTTTTCCTGGGACAATTTGGCTTTTAAAACAATTACCCATGAGTAGCTCAATTTCGAACAATTGGACTTTAAATAATGACCTGCGAGTAGAAAGGAAAATTGGACTAAGAAATTATTCTCAATTTGGCACTGAAACGGGAAGGTCTAAACAGGAAGTCAGCCTTCCATTTCTTGTAGATAGATTAAAGCAAAGACATGGCAAACTAGAGTTCAGAAAATCATTTATAAAGGATTAACTTTCATCATTTAAAATTGTTGAACCCCCTTCGGAAGCAGGAGAAGAGGGGGGATTTTTTCTGGACTGGTTAAACCTGCAGAAGAGAGCGTAAAGAAAGGTAATTTTCCACCGTCTCGGACCTGGGAGCGGGGTGTCAGGACTGACGTTCTTTGGGAAGTTCATTGACCATAGACAAACGTCTTTGACAGATAGTTAAAAGAAGAGAAACATTGTGATTCCATCGTTCTCCTTCGCATTTTAAAGGAACAAATATTGACAAAATATCTGAAAAAAGAAACTTTGTTGCTAGATCTACTTTTAAAAGAAAAGATCAAATAGAAGTTCATCCCCTAGAGGGAGCCTGTGAAACTGTTACTAAATCTAAATCGGGGAGCTCTGCAGCTGCAACAGATTACGATCGTGGGAACAGACTTCTGACCTTGTATAACAATGTATTCAGAAGCTCTGGTGCGTGCTTTCTGCAAAACAAGTGCCCTTTTGGAACAGTTACATGAGAAGACGGACTTGATGACTGCTGCGATCAGAAATTTTGGACAGGTAGTGGGTAACTATATAGAACCCACCCAGGAATCAAATCAGGAGTGTGCTCTGACAGATCAGATGAGGGAAGAGGATGTTGCTGGACCTTGGGTGCCAGAGATGGAGGGAGTTGTGGCCCAGCAGGAACATGAGTTGTTGGATTTGACAAATGAACTTGGAAAAAGCCAGGCTTGGAGAGATAGAGTTTTGTTTGGTTTGGAAATGGGGGGTTGGATAGACCCCCCTATGCAGGGATGTTTTGACTTTCCAAGTCTGGCAATGGGCCGTGAGATGTTTGGTGTTGTGGGGGCTCTTAATTCTGGAGGGATTTTGAAACATGTTTTTAAATACCACATGGAGTTTAGTGTGGACTATGGAAAAGGGGCTGATTTGTCGAGAAGGGTCAAAAACACTGTCAAGTTGGAGTTTCCACGAGTGAAAGGAGCAGGAGACAAAGTAAAGTACAGGTATAAATATGAAGAAGAGCTGCGGAAGGGACATGGAAGAGACTTAAGGGCCTCGGACATAAGATTACCAAGTTAATGAGCTAGATTGATGGGATAGAAAGGACTGACAAAACCCGGGACCAGGAAGAAGAGACGCTGGATGAAGATTGGAAGAAAGTTTCTAAAAAAAAATATTTATTAGGATTGTTTTATAAAATTGATGAATGTTAGAAAAATGTTGGAACGAAATCATTTGGCTTTAGTAAAAATGTTAAAAGAACTATGTAAGAATATGTTATGGTTATGAGAAACTGGTATAAATAAGATCTAAGTTTTAAGTTTTAGGGTCTTTTATAATAAGATAAGGTTAAAATAGATTAAGGTAATTTAATGACAGAATATTATGAAAAATGGAAAGGATTTGCTGTGATAATTAACAACTAGGATACAAAAAAGGGAGGAGTGAGGAGGTTGATGAAATAAGGCAATGACAGTTAAGGATTTTGGAATACTGGATTTGTTTTTAAATTTTTGTGGTTTATTTTTGTTTTTTGATTGTCTTGTGTTACGTGTTTTGTTGTTACTTTTTTATTTTGATTTTTATTAATTGGTATTGCTTGATTGTGGTTTGTTTTTCTTTTGTCTTTTCTCTTTCTTTCTTTTTGTTTTTCTTGTAATTTTAAAATTCTTAATAAATATCATTTTTTTAAAAAAATGGAAATGGAGTACAACAAGGCTGTGTATTGTCTCCCTGCTTATTTAAGTTATATGTAGAAAACATCTTGAGAAAGGCTGGACTGGATGAATACGAAGCCAGAATTCAGACTGCTGGAAGAAATATCAACAACCTCAGATATGCAGATGACACAACTTTGATGGCAGAAAGTGGGGAGGAATTAAAGAACCTCTTAATGAGGGTCTGAAGCTCAACATAAAAAAAAACTAAAATCATGGCTACTGGTCCCATCACATCCTGGCAAATAGAAGGGGAGGAAATGGAGGCACTGACAGATTTTACCTTCTTGGGCTCCATGATCACTGCAGATGGTGACAGCAGTCACAAAATTAAAAGACGCCTGCTTCTTGGGAGAAAAGTGATGACAAACCTAGACAGCATCTTAAAAAGCAGAGACATCACCTGGCCAACAAAAATCCGTATTGTTAAAGCTATGGTTTTCCCAGTAGTGATGTATGGTAGTGAGAGCAGGACCATAAAAAAGGCTGATCGCCAAAGAATTGATGCTTTTGATTTGAGGTGCTGGAGGAGACTCTTGAGAGTCCCATGGACTGCAAGAAGATCAAACCAATCCATTATGAAGGAAATCAATCCTGAATGCTCACTGGAAGATCCTGAAGCTGAGGCTCCAATACTTTGGCCACATCGTGAGAAGTGAAGACTCCCCAGAAAAGACCCTGATGTAGGGAAAGATGGAGGGCACAAGGAGAAGGGGACGACAGAGGACGAGATGGTTGGACAGTGTGCTTGAAGCTACCAACATGAGTTTGACCAAACTGCGGGAGGCAGTGGAAGACAGGAGTGCCTGGCGTGCTCTGTTGCATGGGGTGACAAAGAGTCGGACACGACCAAACAGCTAAACAACAAGAAGAAGAATTGGAACGGATCTTTGCCCACAGCTTGCTCCTCAGCACCCTTCTATGGGACAGGATTTCCAAAATTCAGGACTGCTGCAGCTTAGTGAAGTTGAAACAATTTGGAAGTTCTGACACAAAATGTTTGTGGACTTTTTTCATTGTGTTTTAGGCTCTGTGGATCTAGGAAAGCCTGGACTACTTCATTTACTTCTTACATTCTTATCACTCACTTTTTACTTCAACTTACATAATTTAACTTTTGCATGACTTGAATTTTTTAACTTTCCAAATGTTCCTTTTTCAGATGCCTATTTTTTTTTTTTATGTAACTCTCCATTTTGGACCTGGCTGCCCATTAAAAAAAACAAAAAACTTGTGAGAAATGCAAACATTATTAATGTAGGCCACATAAAAACACCTTGTAGTTATGACAAATTGTTAACTTTTCTTTGTCCTTATGTTCAACGACCATCATTAAACATGGGGGTGGGATTAGATATTTTATTGCTTAATATTCTTTGTGTGCTTCATATTTAAAGTTAGTGAAGTAATAAATAATACCATGTAAAGAGCTGCCTTATTGAGTTCAGAGTCTATGCACCACTCACCTGACTTGGGGTAAGCGACGTTCACTATATCATCATCCAACAGTTGGAATTCATTTTCCATGTAGCTGAGTGTTTCCGTTGAATAGAGCAATTGAGGAAAAGGGATCCCCTTATATTTGAAATAAGCCATTGATGACACTGAAAAACTGAACATATGAGGAGAGAGTGAGAGAGAGAGATTATGCCACATCCTTAAGGACATTTAGGTAGCTACCATTTTAGAACCAATCTATGAAAATATCTGGGGAGCAGGAGGAAGAGAAGCTTTCGGGAGGTGGTGATTGGGCCAGCAAGAGATGTTCTAATGATGCCACCAGGCATGGTGGAAAATATTCCAATGAACTCAGTTCTGATTACACATCATATCAGGCTTTCAAATATTAATAAGATCATGGGCACAAATTAGTTACACAATTAACTCAAATCACCTCCCTGGGCAGCAGTCAACCTGGGCTCCATACCCTCCAACACTTTGAATCCAGGACGCCATCTTCCCAGACACCTTCTTACCATTTTTTATTGCAAGGGCACAGTGGCCATTTTGGTTGTCTTGAGTTCACATGATTTCATGTCACGTCACTCCCCCCCAAAAAAACCCTGCTTCCCAGCATGGCACCAAAAACACGCATTTTGGGGCATCATGCAAGATCAGAGCCCTTAATAAAGCACCACAAAATTGCACGAGATCACGGCAATCAAAATGGCCGCTGTTCCCTTGCAGTAAATAAACAGGATAACCCGTTTTTTCTGGGACACTTGTGGAGTATGAGGGTCTAGAAACAGGGCGTTATAGATGTGGGGCAGGGGAGAAGCAGAGTTAGCCATGGGCCTGCTGGATCCTTCCCCCTGAGGAGAGCCTGATCAGCTGAGCCAGCCTGGACCTGCCACACAAAAAAGAAAAGAGAAGCTGTCCCTCTCGCCCGCCATTTCCACCCTGGCTGGCATGAGCTTACAGAGCTTTGGATGTGGTGGTCACTGTTGGTTTGCTATTCCCCTGGCAATCTGAGGAAAGCAGGATGCTCTCATCCTGCTACCTAGCCGGTCCGTGACCTTGATCAATCATCTGTTCTTGTTGTGTCCCAATCTTGTAAAGGGACAGATGAACTAGATTTCAGAAAAGTGTAATTTGATTTGGCAACTCAACCAGTAACTTTTGGTATGAGAATAGGGGTGTTACAAGTTTCCTGTGTTGGGGCGTAACCTTTAAAGTCCTAGCACAGCTTGGCATGCAAATACCTGGGAAACATTTTAACTTACATTTACACCATTGCACATAACTGTGGTTGCATACCCTTCAATGTTCCTCAGATGAAAATGTCCATATTTTCATCTGCTGAATGTTGGAGGGTATGATATAACTGCTTCTGGACCTACTCACACATTGTGAGTAGGGGACTATTTAGCTGAAGTGCAAAGTAGTTTTTGCTCTTCCCTGGTTCTGCCAATAGGAGGCCAGGTGAGGTGAACTTTTGCCTCAGTCTGGAACTTTTGATACTCATGTATTGATTTAAAGCATTTCACATGCTCAGTAGTTGAAAACATTTCAAGAACAGCTTTATGTAACAGCAGTAAACCAAAAGCAAAGCAAACAGTCCCCACCCCTGGCCTTAAAATCTCAAAAGGGAATCTGAAAGGGAAAGGGGGAGAAGGAGGAAAACCAGTTTGTAAATTTCATGGAATCTATTTGGGAAGAAGAGAAGTGAAATGAAGCGGGTCTCTCGGCAGAAGCACTGCTGTCCCATCTCTCTCACAGCTGCAAACAGGTGGATGGCTGCCGATAGCAGACAGTTCAGGGAGGAGAGGAGCCGAAGGAGCAGGTCTCTCAGCAGAGCCAGTGAATAGACCTGTCTCTCTCCTTCTGCTGCAGTCATTTATAGAATAGAGCAGTTAATTTAAAATCCCTGTATGTTCCAAGCTGGAAAACAGAAGAGGGCAATTGGGGAAGAGTTCTTCAAGGGGAGGAGGAGAAGATTGAGATGATCTGAAAGAAGAACACTTTGAATACAGGAAGTATTGTGAGAGCACAGGTTTCAGACAGTTGGAAACAGGAGCAGCCTTTGTTATCCCATGGGTCTGGGAAGCGTACTTACTGTGTGATTAGTCCTTGCAATGAATCTGCCCTGATACTGGGAAGCAGGAGGAGTCAGAGAAACTTCAGTAGCTACATTTATCTGCGAGCAGAACTCAGCATACCATGTACAGGGTGAGTCTTTTAAAAAAGCCTCTGTGGAACATGTGTACTCTATCCACGGGGCCTTTTTTAAAGGGCTCATCCTGTGCTTCCCACATTGATAGGATGAAGGTTCCAATGAACTTTTGATGAAACCACTCCCAAGTGGAGAGAGGAGTTTCTGTTACACACCAGGCATGCCTCGTAAATACACAGGCCATGCTCACTACAGTTACACATGGAGCTCCCTTCCTTTCCTGGCTCAAATATTCAGTCAGGAGGGCAAAAAAAATTCTTTTTCTCCTCCCTCCCCTGCTCCAGCCAAGAGATTGGGGGTTGAGAGTTTCCGGTCATGTCCCGAACTCAATGGAAGGATTTAGGAGGCAAAAAAAAAATCCTGGCAATGTTTCCTATCAATCAAAATGTTTATTCGGCTTTACGCCCATCATAAAGCACAACACACAAAACAAATCAAATAAAACAGCGGTCTCGTACAAGCCACAAGTAATATAACACAATTCACAGCTCACAAGGACAAATATTGGCAAATCAAAACAGAAATTTAAGATTAAAGTTAAAAATTTAGGCACTACACTAAAATCAATATCTGAAATCAATATCAAAAATTCTTATAACTATCAATAATCAGCTAACATTCCATTCCGTCTCTTGTACGAGAGAACGGCTGTTAGGAATTTAGCAACCTGTAGAGTAATATAAGGATCTACATCTTGAAGAACCCAGGCAAGCTGTAGGTCTACTGGTTTGTCAGCCATAGGCTGGATTATGGAGTTTAGTATACTAGCACGAGCTGAACTGTACATAGGGCAGATAAACATAACATGATGTAAAGATTCAGATGTTTTCATTTCACAAGCACACATTGAAGGGACTTGGCCCTTAGTGAATCTATGTCTCAGCACGTTTGTTGGAAAAACATTGAACCTGGCTCTAATGAAGGCATATCGGTGAGATGCGGCTATAAGCGATGTTAAGTAGGACGGAGCACGATAGATAGGGGTTATGCCGAGATTTAACGGCGAGCAGGCTCCACCACCAGCTAAGAAATTTTGGTATAGCTCCACATCATCCAGCCTTTGATTTATACACCTTTTGCCGCGTTTAGATCCAGTTTGAGCAATTCCGTGGGCGAGATCTCATAGGACAGCAATTTGGCATGGATTTTTCCTGACCACAGATTTGTGAAGTCATCCCGCCACATGCATTGAATGAGATAGTGGTTCGGTAGATTATGCCATAGGGATATCCAATAAATCAAAACTCTCCTCCTAGCGGGATCTGGGGAGCTCACTGCATCCTACTGTGCTGTGCAAACCTGAGTGCCTACCTGAAAGGCAGAGCAGGTGCAACCTGGTAGCGTGTCCCTGCCATGGTCAAGCCTCTGTCTCTGGCATGATTTGAGAAAATCTCTAGTTTTGCCGACATACCCAGGAATTTCAAGTGTTCTTTCACTTCCTTCTGTGAGCATCACCAGGGGCTCGGGATGAAGTAATATGTCCATTTTGGTTTGTCATTTTTGCAATCTTGAATTCAGTTCTCCATATTTCCATGTCAGTGTGCGAGTTTTCTTACATGTTTTAACAAAGCATTTCTCCCTGATATAATGCAATTCTTCTGCCCCCCCCCCCCACTAAAGTATGCATGTTGTGAACACTTAGTCTAGTATATGCATTTTTGTACACATTACTTAGCTGAAGAACTGCATTGCAAAATTCAGAGACTGGCAAATTTCAGAGATTTTTTTTTTTTTAATGATATTTATTAAAGTTTCACAAGAAAAGAATCACATTAATAAAAAAGAAAAATTTTAGAATAAAAAGAAAAATACACAATACAAAATACAAAAAGAAAAAAGAAAAAACAGTTAAAAACAATTCCGTCTTTTCATCACTTCTTTTACATTTACTTGTTTCCCGGACCTCCTCATACCTCCCTCTTTTGTATTCCAATTCAGTTTGTTAGTCCAGCAATTCCTTTCCCTCCTTTTTAATCCTGATCTTTAATCTTAATATATTATAACATTGAATTTTTACCTATTAAAAGCCAATTTTTCCATTCTTTTAACCATTACTACTAGAAACCGCTTAACTTCAATCCGTCATCATTCTAACATTCATTAATTTTACAATATTTCTGTAAGTAGTCTTTAAATTTCTTCCAATCTTCTTCCACCAACTCTTCTCCCTGGTCTCGGATTCTGCCAGTCATTTCTGCCAATTCCATATAGTCCATCATTTTCATCTGCCATTCCTCCAGTGTGGGTAGATCTTGTGTCTTCCAATGCTTTGCAATAAGTATTCTTGCTGCTGTTGTAGCATACATAAAGAAAGTTCTATCCTTCTTTAACACCGATTGGTCGACTATGCCCAGGAGAAAGGCCTCTGGTTTCTTCAAGAAGGTATATTTAAATACCTTTTTTAATTCATTATAAATCATTTCCCAGAAAACCTTGATCCTTGGGCACGTCCACCAAAGGTGAAAGAATGTACCTTCAGTTTCTTTACATTTCCAACATTTATTATCGGGCAAATGGTAGATTTTTGCAAGCTTGACTGGGGTTATGTACCACCTGTATATCATTTTCATAATATTCTCTCTTAAGGCACTACATGCCGTAAACTTCATACCTGTGGTCCATAACTGTTCCCAGTCAGCAAACATAATATTATGTCCAACATCTTGTGCCCATTTAATCATAGCAGATTTCACCGTTTCATCCTGAGTATTCCATTTCAGCAGCAAGTTATACATTCTTGACAAATTCTTAGTTTTGGGTTCTAACAGTTCTGTTTCTAATTTTGATTTTTCCACCTGGAAGCCAATTTTCTTGTCCAAATTGTATGCCTCCATTATCTGATAATAATGAAGCCAGTCTCGCACTTTATTTTTTAGTTTTTCAAAACTCTGCAGTTTCAATCTATCTCCATCTTGTTCTAAAA